GTTCAAATATGAATATTCGTTTGATTTTTATACTTGATTTATATGTGGATCCCACATTTCTCTCTTTATTATTATTATTTTTAATAAAATGCTGAAGTGGTAGGTAGTGCATCAGATTATTTTGCAGTTGCTGTTAAAACAGTAGATCACATAGCCTTCAATTACAGGAGAACTTTTGTTTTTCCAAGTCCGATTTTGTGGCCAGACCACGTCCTGTTCTGACTCAGATGGTCTTCCCTTTGCTATGACGTAATCTCTCGTACCCCACCCTTGAGGATGGGCTTCAGGAACAAAGGAGAAAATGACAGAACACTCATGGCTTGAAGACTAAAGGAGTCTTTGGTCCAGTCCAGAGAGAGCCAAACAATAAACCAGCTACTGTAGAACAATATAATTGTTTGAACTAAATTGCAGTGGGAGCAGGTGGAATTTGCTGGAAAGTCAGGTAATGTGTCCTAAGGGAGAAACCTCCGACTGGAGGCTTATCAAAGGAGAAAGGACGGTCGCTGGATATCAGGTGAACATGTAAGAAGGCAGAGAGAACGCTTTGCCAAGCTTCGTGGCCAGAAAGCCTGACGTGGCAAGAATTACCTGTTTCTTTTTGCTACTTTATAAAGCAGTCGGTACAGGGAAGGGATGAGGGGAGGAATACTGACAGGAGCCATATCATGGGGGGCTTGAGGACCACGTGTAGTGGGAGCTCGTATTTGACCTCATCAGCACATCTTCCTTGCCACATATGTAGGGTTTTTACCCTAAATGCCTCATTGATCTGTATCTTTAAAAATCATCACCCCTGACATTACTGCATGATGCAATTTCTTATTCTCGTGCAATACCGTGGAAGGAGGAGAAACTAGGTGGTAATTTGCTGTATCCCACATGGAGCTCTGGCTTCATTTATCCCTTTCCAGCGCTGTCCATGTTCTTTTTATTTCTGAGGCTGGAAGTCAGCCTGTGGGTGGGGCTTCCTTTCCCACACAATGGTCCTGCTGAAAGCCGGCGCCCGTCTCACCAGCTGCACCTCATGCCCCTGCCAGTCTTGATCCCTAAGCTCCCAGCGCACTGATCTTTTTCAGGTTTTCAAAGAAACAAACCCTACCCCTACCTCAGGGCTTCTGCCCACACTATTTCCTCTGCCCGCAGCCCCCCATCCCCACCCCTGTGTAAACTGATCTTCCCCAAAAGGCGTTTTCCACCCACCCCTATTAAAACAAGTTCCATTCACAGATGTTTTGTGACTCTTAATACAATTTGACCTTGTTTTGTTTTGTTGACTTTATTTCTTTATTGCCATACTCCCCTTTAAGTCCCATAAAAGCATTGATTTGGTGTGACTGACTCACAACTGCACCCTCTCCACCTGTTTGATCATAAATATTAAATAATTATTTGCTGAATGAATGGATGGATGGATTGGTAAATGGATGGATAAAGTTAACACCTGTAAGTTGAATTCTTCACAAAATTCAGCCTACTGTTCTTTTTTCGTGCTGCAATTCCCCTCAACCAGACTCCAGAGAATTCTCTTCTCCCCCGTGAACCCGATAAAGCTGACACTGATACACCACCCCCCCCAGCTTATACAGAAGATACCTGTTTATGTTTTTGTTGATGACCTTGGGGTGTGTGGGCGTCATTTCCAGCCACTTCGTTCTCCCAACTTCATCTAAGTTACAGAGTTTAAGAAGACTTTTCTCACAAGAAAAGCAATTGTTTTCATAATAAAGTTGTAAAGAAATGATTTCAGAAAATGTGAGAAATACTGAATCTAATGAAGCAAATGTGAATCCTGCATAATTTCTCTACCCTGAATTAAGTATTTATAAATATTTTGGCTTTTTTCAATCAAGTGGTTTTATACATTTCACAATTTTGTGTCCATGGTATGTATAGGTGTCCTGAATTTTAAATAGAACATGATCCCATGTCATTAAAAAGACTTTTAAAGGCTGTTTCATTGTATGTTGGTCCTATGTTCTTTTTATGAGAATCACTATTGAATGCCAACAGAGTGCTAGACCCTGAGGTATATGTTATCCCACTTTAAATATTTGGTGCTTACTGAACCAGAACTGATAATATAACGAGTGTCTTCCCTACAGTAGCTGTGTTTCTGAGTGGCTATGCCAGGTTACAGAAGCCAGAGGTGAAACTGCAGATTAATTTGAATTAGGGGCAAATAAGAAAGACTGGATTGGATGTCCAATAAATAGGCCCAGTTCAAATATTGAATGCACTGAGCACACAAAGGTCTTAAGTGAGTGTGTCCCCAGATTGGGAAAACCTTGGCAGACCACTCTTTTGAAATCCTAGATGTGAGACTGACTCATGTTTCCCCTCTTTTCTAGAGTGACCGTCTTCTTATCAAGGGAGGCAGAATCGTCAACGATGATCAGTCCTTTTATGCTGATATTTACATGGAAGATGGCTTGATAAAGTATGTGCCCAGAACCCTCCTCTTTATCGCATTGTGCTTTCTCTTCATCAGAGGCTCAGAGAGAAGCTTGCTTCTTTTTTGTTTACTAGATCATTGGTTTGCTGTTTTATTTCTCCTCCTTAAAACAAGTCTTTATTTTGGCCCTGAAGTCCAGATGCACATAATCTCTTAAAAGTGGGAGCTAGTTCACTCGGATTACAAGAATGAAATGAAACGTCTGGATTCAGTCAGTGAATGACGCTGAGGGCCCTTCACTCCAGCTGCACCAATGGGCACTCTGAGGGCCCCAGAGAACGTGTGACCACTTAGACATGCACAGATGGCAGCCCCCTGAGAATATAGGGCCTTGTATAGCAGGTACTGAAGAAATACAGATGAGGAGAAGCAATTTAGAAGTGCACAGAAAGAAGGGAGGAAGATTTGGGGTAGAGAGGACATTTAAAATGCCCTTTGACGTAGGTTAAGACTAAAATGGACAGAGCACAGATAGGACGTACTTTTCAGGCAAGATTTCCAAAGAGATACTCTAGGGATGTAGAATTACTTTAGAAAATGATTTGCCTGTAAGCATAGCCGAGCAGCCTTTATGTACAGGTTCCTTACATAGTGACCTTTAAAAAAGAATCAACCTACACTCGGCATTTCATCAGTAATGTACACCCGCATGCAGATGAGGTGTTGTACGAGATCCATGTATCCAGCCCGCCCTGTTAGCCACCCCTGGCCTGTTCAGGTTTACTGTTATGTAATTCGACTTTATTGGATAGTTTAAAATTCTGGTTAGAGGTCTCTTAATTATCTTAGAGAACTTGGCTTAGATGTAACTTCTGTAGGCAGATACTCCTTACCAGCCCCCGAATCTAGGCTGGCTTCCCCTTCTCAAAACACTGTTTTGAGAGTTCTTGCTCTCGATCTTGCCTGAAATGTGTGTCCTATCTGTGCTCAGCCCATTTATTTTAATCTTAACGTACGTCAAAGTGCAGTTTAAATGTCTTCTCCACCCCAAATCTATCAGTCATAGCATTTCCGATACTGATAGGCCCCCTGAGAGCCAGGACTATATCTTGTCCATCTCCATGTCCCCAGCTCTTAACCCGTACTGAGCACATAAAAGCTTTCATAAGAGCCATCATCTCTTATTGAGCGTGTAGTGTGTGCTCAGGTACTCGTTCAGTGTTGTACACACCTTTATTCATTTAATCTGCCAGCAGTCCTATTGCCTTGCCAATTTACACAAATCATTTTTCATATGAGAAGTAGGAAAAATGGAAATACTAAGTAGGCTAACAAATACAAAACAATTTCTTCAAAATAGAAATGACAATTAGCTTAATTTTTTTCTCTGACTAAAAATTTGTATGTAGTCAGCTCTCTTTGGAGACAGCGAGTTCCTTCATTTAGAGACTTTTCAGACATGGGAAAAATTTAGTACCTAATGGCTCTTCCTCATTTCAGAGCTCATGATATAAGCATCGCTAATCGGTCACAGAACCTTTTTTGTAGTTGAGCCTGAACAGGCCCCGTGTCCACCTTCACACAGTGGTTCAGGCGTCTACTACCAGAAATGCTTAGGTACAACGCATCCTTTTTCACAGCCCTGCTAGAGTAGACCGGAAGGCCACTGGCCAGAGGTTGTTCTAGAAGGATTTGTTGTAGTTGGAGGCGGAGAGAATGGTGGACAAACGTGACCTTCACTTAATCAAAGTTTATATAGCCCCCAAAACACCCTTAACTTGCAGAGCATAAAAACAGAAATGATTTCCTCCAGTTGTTACGGAGTCTTTGCCTGCCTGTGCGAGCGGTTGTCTCAAGCACCTGCTACGTCACATGCCGTGACCAGTGTCACTGGGGCCCGAATCATCAGTGCTGTCATGCCTCGGGGACCTTACAGGCTTCTAGGGGAAATGAGATGTTCCCAGATCATATCAACATCAAGCATTAAATTAGTACAACAGATGAGATTCACAGGAAGGCAAAGAGCTGTATGGGTTTAGGAGGGTCATTACTTATAATAGTTGATATTTATTGAATTCTTATGTGTCTCACAGTGTTCTGTGAGCTTAGCACATATTATAGCATTTAATCTACACACCAAACCGTCTATTACATTTTATTGACAAAGGAATTGAGACACTGGGAGTCGGCCAGAGTCGTAACGCCAGTGACTAGCAGAGACCAGCCTGTGACTCCAGAGCCCACGTCCAGGGCGGAGCCACCCTCTTAGTTTTTAGACCTGGTCAGCAGGAGAGACTTGACCGAGGAGAAGAAACGGGAGCTGAGCCTTCAAGGGTTAATGTGCCTTTGATCGGCTCAGTGGATAGAAAGGGGAGAAGGCATTTATTTCTATTTCAGACTTACTGTTACCCGAGTTGTCAAATGAGTGGAAACACTCAGATGTGTACACATACGGGCCAGGCGACTCTTTGTGGCCCCGGTTCTCAGTCTCCCGCAGAGGAAACTCACCGAGGGAGGACAAGGGGACACGGCTGGCCGGGATCTGGACTAGAATGGAGTTATAATCAGAGGCTGTATTTTTGTCCACGGTGTGTTTTGAATCACGGTGGCTCTGGATTGGCCCCATGGTGCTGTGGTGAAGCCGATCTCGTGGAGATGTCAGGAATACTGCATTTCAGTTGTAGAACTTAGATTTTGGCCGGTCAGGGGTGGGCGTCTTCCTGCTCCAGGAGAATGTCCTTCTTGGCTGGCTGTGAACAAAGGGGAAAGGATCCGTGCCCTGGCAGTGGGGTGCAAGTATCCCCGGGGCAGAGGTGTCCAATGAGAGTGTAGAGGCTTAGGCAGCATGAGTCTAGCCAGAATTAACAGACCATTTAAGTCAAAGATGTGAAGTCACATATAAAAGCAACATCAGATGGTCTGTGAGGTCTAACACTGTGCCAGGAGTGGCTGCATTCGTCACTTGCCTTGTGGAGTGGGCTCCTGAGATACTCAGTTTCTGCCCCACCCGAGCCCCCATCTCTTCCTCCTTGGGGTGCCCTGAAGCTTCCTGGGTGAAAGTGTGTCTGGTGAAGAATGTCACGATCCCCTCCCTTGGCTTCAGGCTTCTGCTGAGGGGCTGACCACGTGCGAGCAGCGTCTCCAGCTTCCACCTTTCACACCTGCCTTCCACTGTGACTGGCGGATATGTCCTCAGGGAAGGTGGAACTAGGGGTGGAAGCTGAGGTGCAGAATGACCCAGATGGATTCCTTTTGTTGGGAGCAGAGAGGAACCCATGTAGAGGATAGCCAAGTCTGCGCCCCTGTTCTCAGGTGGTCCATTACCTCCGTCAACCTGGCCTAACAGTCCTTGATTTTAGACTCTTAATTCTTTTCCAAATGTTATTCCTCACCCTTAACTCTAATAAAGAACAAAAAGAAAGGAATAATAAAAAAAATGATTTTTTTTCAGAATTATTTATTATGTACCCTCTATTCTAGACACTATCAAACACTTGCAGATACAATATGAGGCCACGACACATGGTACCACCAAATAGCATATTGGATTGCTCTGTATCTAAAAAATTGTTTTCTATGTGTGTACCTCTGATTCTAGATTGCTAAGCTTGTGAATCCCTTGGAAAGACAGACTACTTTGATGAATACAAATTACAGTGTTTAAAATCCGTGCAATACTGTGTTTGTCTCAGAAGTCCCTCTTCTAAGTCGCCAGTTGTTTCACTGTCTCTCCAGGCAAATTGGAGACAATCTGATTGTCCCTGGAGGCGTGAAGACCGTGGAGGCCAATGGGAAGATGGTGATCCCTGGAGGCATCGATGTCCACACTCACTTCCAGATGCCGTACAAGGGGATGACCACAGTGGATGACTTCTTCCAAGGGACAAAGGCTGCCTTAGCAGGCGGCACCACCATGATCAGTGAGTCCCCTGCGTCACGCCCTCCTGGTCCCAAGAAACAAGTGCCTCACTGACATGTGAACCACTGTGCTCTGTGGTGGGGACTCGTATGTTCCCCTCGGTTCAGTTTATGCACTTTCTGCCCCAGGGGACCTGAGAGGAGAGGAGATCCCTGAGGCCCCTGACCAGGAAAGCAGCCGTCCTGTCTCGTCTGCCTTAGAGCAGGGGCTGGGGGTGCAGTGGGTGGGGAACCCACAGTTAGCATCTCTGGGGCAGGCACTGGGAACTGTGGACTTCAAAAGCTGTGGGATGTGGGCAGAGAGTTATTTCAGGACTTCCAACTGGGTTCTGAAGCAGGAACAGCAGGCCGAGCAGTGCAGATGGGGCCCAGGCATCCCGGAGAGAAGCGTACTGGCGGCTTACAGTTCTGGAGAAAGTAGCAGCTTCAGTGGCATTTGGTGTTCCCTGGTCTGTGGTTTATTTTGACCAATGGCTATCTTTTAAGGTGAGGCAAGCTGTGGGGTGGTCTCTCGTGTTCTTTCTTTTCTGGTAGCGATCGCAATTCCAAAGAAACGTAGGGAGTCGCATGCCATTGGATTATCAAACAGGTAGCATTCCAGGGCAGTCCTTCATGTTCCAAAGGAATCCCAGCGAACTGCGTCCCATCCCTGCCTCCGCCCCACATTTGGTGAGCACAGAGCTCTGGGGGACACTGCCGGCGTCCCGCCAGGACACAGAACAGCCGGAGCCCCAAGCCTTCCGTTGTCTTTTGCTCCCTTCTGATGGGAGCACCGGCAGGGCCCAACAGCCAGCTGGGTGGGATCCCAGGAAGGCTGCAGCAGGGCTGTCAGAGGGGCAATTCAGGGAGACCAAAGCTTTTCTCCAGCCGAGGGGCTGGTCCGGGCCTCAGCGTAGCTGGTTCCGTGCACCCACGTTCCTAAGTGCGCCTGGGCTGCCTGTGATGGGAGGCTGAGGACGTGATCCATCTGGGCCTGGCGCTCGGCCGTCCGGGCAGGGCGAGGGGCCTGTTGGCATCCTAGAGGCGTGTGCTGGGCTGCACCTTCTGCATTAGGGAGGGAAGGGGCAGGGGGGAAATCGGAGGTTCAGTTGACAACAGCAAAAAGCATCTCAAGAACCACAGAAGTGTTCGTGTCCTGGGGGTAATTTAAGAATCCTGGGTAGGCAAAAAGGAAGAAGGCCCGTAAATCCCGCATCACCCCTCCGGTTGGCTTTATTTTTTTTCCTATTTAACAAAAATAGGATCATAATAGACCTACTGTGTTTTAGCCTATCATTTTCACTAAATAGTATATCTTGGGTGTTTTTCATTTATTTTATTTTCCCACAACATTTAGAATTGATGGTTAATCATCCATTTTGTGAAGGCATCATGATTTAATAAATTTAACCAATTTCCTTGTTGTTCAAGATTTGGATGGTTTCCAGTTTTTCACTTATAAAATATATGTAGTATTCACACTGGCAAGCATCTTTACAACCCAAATTTTGTATACAGCTGTGTTGATTTTCTTAGAAATAATTGTTAGGTGCAGGAATAATTATTGAGTTAAGATATGAAAAATGTCAAGGTTTTTGGTATGCACTTCAAAACTGTTGTTAAGGAAGTTGTCCCAATTTTTACCATCCCTCGACTGCCTAGGGGAACTATAAGAACATCACTTTTGCCTTCTCACCAAATGTAGATGTTATTTAAAAGTTATCCACGGTTGCAGGTAGTGTGGCAAGAGACACGGACCTCAAAGCAACGACGGTCTTGACAAGCAGTTCATGTGGAAATAAGATCTGTGGGACTGCTGTCGTGGTCACTTAGTGGGCACTGGCCCTTTCCTGTCCCAGTAGGCAAGAGTGTATCTCTGTCTTGTGCCCTGACATCAGTTTAAAACCTCTCTTGCTGTCCTTAGAGGGGAGTTGGACTTTTCTCATTAGCAGTCACTCCCTACTGTACTAGTAATAATGGCACATAGTAGGCACTCATCGATAGCTAGCATTTATTGAACACTTACTATATGCCAGGCATCAAGGGAAGCCCTTTGCAAGCTTAATTAATTTTCCCATTTAATCTTACAACAGACTTTTTCTAGGAAGGCATTGTGGCACCCTGTCCCCTATGCCACTTGGCATCATTTTAGGGATGAGAAAACTAAGGTTTAGAGAAGCTAGAAATTTCCCCAAGAGCACAGAGCCAAGTGAGGTCGCATCACCAGCCACCTGAGTGCACCGGGGGACACTCCCCAAGGATCCTTCTGTGCTCAGGAGATAGACTCTGTAGTCATGGCCCAGTCAGTGGGAGCAGGCCTGTGCGGAGGGGAGCTGAGGCGTGGCAGGGGTCACCCACTGGGGGCCTCTTGTGCAGTTGACCACGTGGTGCCCGAGCCCGGGTCCAGCCTGACCGAGGCCTATGAGAAGTGGCGCGAGTGGGCTGATGGCAAGAGCTGCTGCGACTACGCTTTGCATGTGGACGTCACCCACTGGAGCGACAGCGTCAAGCAGGAGGTGCAGGGCCTCATCAAGGACAAAGGTGAGCCCCAGGGTGCTTCCTCCCGTCCTCTGCCTGTCCCTGCTCCGTTGAGCCGCTTCTGTCTCCTTAGCGCCTGGGGCATTGGGCGTGAGTGCTGGGTGTAGGGCCACTGCTGTGTTCCAGGCACTCGGTCTGTCTTTGTGCCACCTTACCCCTTACAGCGTCCCCATGAGAAGAACCTGAGGCTCAGAATGAGTAGCCCAGGATGACACAGTGAGTGTAAGCTGTAGGTCTACCCAGAGTCCCTGCTGTTTACCTCCAGGCAGTACTGCTCATCTTATGGTGGAAGAACCTGAGGTCAGAGCGGTTAACATCTCACATAAGGTCACACAGCTAGTAAACAAGAGATTAGGAATTTTTTACCTTTATCACTTCTGCTCCAACTAATACATTACTGCTCTATAGCAGTGGCATCCGCAGAAAAGGCTAAGACATGTCTGGGGGCAAAGATGTGTTCACACCGAGGCCAGGAGCTTAGGGAGTGAAAACGTATTCGTGTGTGTATGTGTGCACACGTGTGCCCTCCCAGTGAGTGCTTGAGATAGGTTTCCATTATCTTAGATTCTTCTTTTTTCTACTTTGTACGTTTTAATGATCAGGTACTTCACACTCACACCCACCCCCGATACCTGCACGCAGACTTGCGATGTGCATCCTAAGGTGGTCTGAGGACCTCGGGAACTCTAAGGAACGGCCTCAGCTGAGTGTCCAGGGCCAAAGGAAGCCGGCCAGTGATGCCGTGAGGTGGAGAATATCACTGTTAGAGGAATACTGCGGTCCTGATTATAATACTAGTGCTCGTGCTAAGGGTACAATACTAATCGCAGTATTAACGTAATACTGCGGTCGGTGAGCAGTCCGGCAGATGTCGGGGTGGCTGTGGGAGCGCGCCCGCGGATCAGAGGGGACAGGCCGGCCCCCCGAGGACGGGATTTCCTTCCCATCCTCCCTCCCACACCCCCCAAAGCTCTGCCCAGGCTTTTCCACCTGCAGAATGTACGATTACCCTCTCCCTTCTTCTGTCTGCCCGTACACCGGGCATCTCAGCTGGGGTAGAAGTTTGAAGCTTCAACACCCACTTCCCCTCCACAGTGTCTGGGCCATTTCATGGTGACACAGAGACTGGCGGGAAGGGTAGTGTTGGGAGAAACCGCCCTGAGCTGAGCCACCCTGGCTGGGGAAGCGCTCCGATCCCAGCCCGTCTGTGGCCTGCAACACTGTGGGCCCAGGTGGCCTGAATGGCTGGGGACCAGAATCGTCCTCCTTTCCTCAAAGTGACTGTGTTCCTGTCCCACCTGTTTCTGTAAATCACTGTATTAATAGTCTATTTGGGCTGCATAAAATTAAACGCTCTTTCCTTACAACCCTTATGACTTAGATATCTAAGCTTGGGACCTGACTTCTGCCGCTAGCCCATTAGTGCCCCAGGGATGGGGCCTCCGTCTTAGTTTCCGCTGGGATCTAACACCCAGTGCAGGCCTAGGTAGCGCACGTGTTTGTGAGAGGGTGAAATAAGCCAGTCCCCGGAGATCCCTTCGTAAAGACCAAGTAGTGTGAGGCCTGGCGCTAAAAGTTCCGTGTGTGTCACCTCAGTTAATATTTCCGACCACCTCATGAGCCAGGGTGTTGGTATTTTTCCATTTTACAGACGAGGAAACCGGGGCTCCAGATGTTAGGTATTGTAAGCTCTCTGCACTAGTTGGTTTGTGGTGCGACCTGCAGCGTGAACACGGGCAGCGTGCTACGGCGATTCCGGCTGAGAGATGCTGCCTTGAGCCCTGTTAGCGCATGCTGAGCCTCGGTGCTGGGGAACTGGGGGGTGGGGGGGACCGGCCAGGAGGAGGCAGCGAAGACGAGACTGCTGCCGTGACATCCTGTGGGAATCGTTGCTTTTACTGGGTGAGGAGGGAATAGAAAGATGCTTTTGGAGAGTGGGAAGCATCTGTCTTCTGTTGGGCAGAAGCCCTCCGTGCACTTGGGCTGCGCGGGCGGTGGAAGTGGGGGTGAAGGAGGGAGGGTGGTCGTGACAATGTCGTCTTCCCCCCATTTTCCTCCCTTCCCTCTCTCGCAGGGGTCAACTCCTTCATGGTGTACATGGCCTATAAGGATTTGTATCAAGTGTCCAACACAGAGGTAACCCACTGCTGTGAGGTTCGGGGTGTCTGGGTGGGTTTCCTCTGAACACAAGTTGCGTGGTCACCGAGGGGGACGCCTGGCCACAGGCCTCCTTAAAGCCCTCGCAGCCCAGCTCACTTCACTAAGAGTGCCCGTGGTGAGACAGACGGGGTGCTAGGATCCCCACCGGCAGCGGCCTTCTTGGGAGGGCAGGAGCAGGGCATGCCCACCCTTCAGGGCATGCCAAGCGAACCCACGGTCACGTGAGCGTGGTGGACGTGTGCATCCCTCGGTTGTGCAGGATTGAGGAGGCCCTTCTGCTCTTCGGGGTACCAGCCTGCCTCAGCCTCTCTCCCTGAGAAATTGGTGGGATATGTTTGTTTTAGACAAATCTCAAGTTTTCAGAGGAAATGCAGGAAATTAATTCTCGTGCCTCCCGGTCAGGAGGTGAAGGGAGGGTCGCCCTGAAAGGTCATGAGGGCAGGGGTTTTAGTTTTGGGGTCAGCCCCCGGCCAGGCCGTCCTGGCGGCAGAAGCACCTGTTGGGAAGGAGTCTAAATTAGGCTTATCTCAGCTCGGTGGGAAATAATTGGTAAAAATGTGTGCTGGGAGGGCAAGCCGAGGGGTTGGCATCACTGCCGTACTCTGGTCTGGCCGCCTGTGCGGCAGGGTAGGCTCCGTACGCGGGCAGTTTCCCTGGAGTTCCTGTGGCTGGGCATGTGTCAGTTTGTATTTCTGCCCTGGGCACTTAGTTCCTCGGGTTTATCCCCTTGGCTGGGCCCTGGCCCTGGTGACCGGCTCCCGGGGGAGGCTGCTGAGAGCGCCCGTGGCTTGGGGGGTGACGGGACTCATTTCTGTTTCAGCTCTACGAGATCTTCACCTGCCTGGGAGAGCTGGGGGCCCTTGCTCAAGTCCACGCTGAGAACGGGGACATCATCGCCCAGGTAACGGGCAGCTCCGGGCAGTGCGCTTTCTCCGGGGCCTCGGGGCTGCATCCGTTTGTTTCCCCATTTCTTCAGCGTTGCTTAAGCTCTCAGTGTTTGACCCTCATAAATACTGCACTAAAAACATGACCTTCCTTAGAGAACCTCGCAGTCTTGGAGGAAGAATAAAAGGGGAGATGTAGACAAGTAGCGGGGGAAGTGGAAGATGCTGTAAAACAGGAGTGGACTGGCCATGCTGGAGAATCAGAAAAGGGAGACATCCTGGAAGAGGGGCTTTTCAGATCGAAGCATTTAGTGGGAGAGCATTGCTGATTGTCTTTCGGAAACGAGTCCAGGCTCTAACGGTTACCAAAGGGAACAGGGTGGGGAGGGAAGGAGAAGGGGACCAAGGGACATTATAATTAGCACGCAGGATATGGGCAGGTCACGGGGAAGGCAGTGCAGCCCAGAGAAGACAAGTAGTGACTGTAGCATCTTCCTACGCTCGTGGGCAGTGACTGCAGTGGGGTGGGGCCGGGGACTTGATGATATGGGTGGATGTCGAAACCAGTGTCGCTCATGTAGAACTTTCATAGGATTGTATATCAATGATACCTTAATTAAAAAAAGAAAACGAGTTCCAAGCTACATGATATTCTCTGTCCTAAAGGAAAACTCTAAGGCAGCATTTCTCAGAAGCCAGAAATCCAGTTAGCGCGCTTGGAAGTCACAGCCAGAGATAGTAAAGAACTCAGGCCTTGTGGGAATCAGACGCCCCCCCTGATTCCTTAGAAATCATATTGAGAAACCTGTGGAAAGAGTGATGGAAGTCAGGGCCCCAAGGCCCAAATGGAGGGTTCGTAAGGAAGCAGAAAGCGCTTCTCTCTCCATCTCCTGGCTTGCTTAATGGGCTCCGTGCACAGCTGTGTCTCAGCCAGGGTTTTGTTTATCTCAGAAGCCTTCAGGACAGGCCTCCGCTAGGAGGAGGCAGCCAGAAAGGACTGAGAGCTCTCTGGGTTCATTTCATTACATTAACAGCAAGAAACCATTACTCATGCTTTCAAAGAGCATTTCGTGAGCTTTGTGTGCCAGGCACCAGGCCGTAGAAGGAGCTGCAACAGGTGCATTCCGCAGCGTGCAGGCACCTGGACTGCACCTTCGTCGTACAGGTTGTCCAGGATGCAGCGCGTGTAGCTGGCAGGGCGGTGGGGACAGTGCCGGGCCGACCCTCTGCCCAGGCCCACTGGCTCCAATGGCAGATGCCATCTGGGAGCCCTCCCTGCATGTGCCAGGCACCAGTGGGTGTTCTAGTGTGTTCTCACTGAACCTTCACCCCACCTTTCAAAGGTGCCACCATCCTCTCTGTTGTGAAGATGAGAACATTGAGGCGCAGAAGGATTAGGTCACTGGCCCAACAATCACAGCCAGTAGCTGGGCACACAGCCGGTAGGTGGCTGTGCCTCCTACCCAGAGATGGTGCGTCCGGGGCCCCTGGCTCCAGCCGCCCAGCCGCAGGCTCCCGAGGGGAGCAGGGCTCCAGCTGCTAGGATTCCAGACTCTGTTGTGGAGGAAGTGAGCTAAGTGTGCCGTGTCCTCCCACCTATGACCAGAAAGGTCAATTAGTCAGGCCCCCGCCAGCCTTCTGCCACGTCCCCTGCACAGCCAGAGATAACGAAGTCATTTTCCAAAGAGGGTCAGGTGCCTTGCTCCCATGGGAGGCTTCCCGGTGGCGGTTGAGCTGTCACTCCTGCTGTTGTTCCACCTTTCCCGTGCAGCAGCCACAGGCGCCAGCCCTCCGGCCAGATGCCCTGGAAACCAAGCCCTTGGCTGCTCCATCCTCGGCCCCGTGGAGGTGAACGGAGTCTCATAGCTCCTCAGCACACGGGTGCCTCTGGTCGCCCGCACCTCCCCAGCCTTTCTCTACCTTGGGAAGATGTGTTCTCAGTCAGGAAAAAATAAGAGCATTTTTCCATTTGAATGTGTATGTTTATTAAATTCAGCTTGAGCTAAAAGATTTTATCACATTGTCTAAATGAAGGCAGCTGCTGTGCTCAGAGTTCTTGCTGCATGTTATGCAAACAGACTGAAGTGCAAAAAGAAGTCTTGCCTGAGGGTACCAACAAGGGGCATTTTCAAAAGTCCAAGCTGGCAGGACAGTCAGTGCAGCACCTTGAGCATCTTGAGCGATTCATCCGTCAAATATTTGCTGAGTGTCCACCGTGTGCCCAGGCCTTTGAGAAGGAAGGTGAAAACCAGGGTCCCTTTCCTTGGGGAGCAGATGGGTGCGATCACAGCAGCGGTCAGTGCCTCGGGGTGCCCACTGCCCCCCCACTCGTGTGAAGTGGCATCGGTGGATCCTTACATGCCATTCGTAACCTTCCAGCTGTAGGCAGGCCAGGGCTTTTAGAACGACGTCCCAGGAGGAGTGTCTTTCCGAACAAGACAGAAGTGAGAGAGAGCCATGTAAGACAGGAGAGGCTTTAGTTGGACACCTCAACGCTTGTGTGACTTCAGGAGGCAGTTCAGAGGAGGGGAAATGCTATTCAGTCCCAATTTCAGTAAACAGAAGAGTAAGAATCAAAAGTGGAGGGAACAACGTCATCCTCTGATCTTCTTTCTAATCCTGAGAGCTGCACACAGTGGCCGTTTTGCTTCTCAGGGCTGCTCGTAGAACAGGCATCTTCCTTCCTAGTCCTCTTTTAAAATTTATATCGCTAATAACTAAAGAAGCGACAATGAAAAATCGTTCCTTCCCAGAGAGATGGAATCCCCTCCTTTCTCAACATCTCTGCTTCCAAGTGAACCAGGATTCTGTCCGGCCCCCTCCCTCATGTCCTGCGTTACCAGAGCAGAGTCGCAGGGACTGGCCTTAGTGCTTGGACAGCACGGGCGAGCGAAACTCGGATGTGGTGGCTTAGGGTTTGTGCCAGTTCCAATTAGCCCGTGTGTGTGTTCCACTGCCCAGCCACCTGCTTCCTCCAGAAAGCTGGCCAGAAGTCTCCGAGGAATTTAGCCATCAGCCATGAGGGGCAGGCAGTTTTGCCACATGCACAACCTAATTAAGTAGAATTTAACCAAAAGACTGACTCAGGTAATGCCATTCAGGGGCATTATTTTGTCTGGTTAGATTCTGAATCCGTTTATGTAAGCCACAAGTTTTAAGCATAAAAAAGCCTGAGGAGGGGACTTACTCAAACGCAGATTTCTAGGATTTAACCTCCTAGATTCCAAAGTGGTAGGCCTGGGTAGGACCAGACATCTGCACTTCCACAAAAGTGACCAGGGATTCTGAGGTAGGTAGGTGGTGGGTGGACCAGACGTTGGGAAACAGCACGAGACTGTAAGCTTCGTAAAGTCAGGGCCGCGCAGCTTTAATTCAGACACTTATCAAAGAGCCTCGCATGAAGCAGATACTCAAAAGTTCTGTTGAATCAATGGGTTTTAAAATTTATGAATGAATAAACAAACAGAAATGAAGAATAAGTGAGCTGGTGTGACTTCTGGTACATAATGTATGAAAAAATTGATAGCAGACCGACTTTTATCCTTTAATAAAAAGCCGTCCTTAAATGGATGACTTTTTCCTTTCAGTTAAGACTGTACTTTATTTTGCAATTTCACATATAGAAGGAACAAATCCGTTCACCATACACATTTTATTCTTTTCTTCCCCTTAGAATACACACCAGCATACATTTCCCAAACTTCAGTTGAGCGCTTCTGAAAACTGTTCTCTATTCTTTTCTCATTCTAGGAGCAAGCCCGGATGTTGGAAATGGGGATAACGGGCCCAGAAGGCCACGTGCTGAGCAGACCCGAGGAGGTGGGTTGCAGGGAGTGGGGGCTCGAGGGGAGGGAGAGAGGCCTCCTTACAGCAGGCTTCCGTGACTGTGCCCCAGCGGCCTGGAGGACGGCCCGCTGCCTGTGGCGTTCGGACTGTTTGTGTTGGCTTCCCTGAGGTACATGCGTGTGTATGAAAAGCATCACTGATGTGGTGAGACTGGGTACCAGGCAGGAATATTGGAGCATTTCTTCCGAAGGCCCCTTCTGACTGGCCCAGCTCAGGGGAACCTGAGAAGGTGAGCCAGCAGCGTCGAGGAAGTGCTCGCTTCTGATCCCTAACCTCTGAAGAGAGCACAAGGGCGAGTGTTCTCCCCCGTTACTCAGTAAGAGTGGTGAAGATCTAAGTCCTTTCCTAGTCCTTGTGAGTCTCTGAGGCATTTTCACATACTCCCTTATTCCATATTATGTTTTGAGTCCTGCAGAATACCAGCCGTGTGGCTAAGAGGCTGAATGGGTTTTTATAAACATACTGTCTGTTGAGTTACGTAAGGTGCCTACGTCCAGGCATGGAAGTTCACCGTGAGTACAGTGGATGGTGCATAGCGAGTAGCAACCGCTTAGCGGCTGGAGAGTAAAGGAGGGGTGACTGGAGGCTGGTCCATGTGTCTGGCATGTCAGCACCTTGAGCCGGCCCAGGGCAGAGCGCTGGGAACTGGCTGCTCATCTGGCTGGGAGCCTGTTGGCTTTGGGAGACCAGCCTGGGTCTGGCACCTGGAGAGAAAATTCAAAGCCCTCCGTTACAAGACACTTTAGAGTCTTTCAGAGATTAAAATGTGACACATATACATAGAAAAGTGTTCCTATCATAGAGGTTAGTGACCTTTCACAAACTGAATAGACTCATCAGTAGAGCCCAGCTGAAGAAACAGCGTATTACCAGCACCCCAGAAACTGCTTTGTGTCTGATAATATCTTTGTTGCAGTTTTGTGATCAAGGCTACAGTCACAGCATTTCTGAGAAGTCCGTCTCAGTACCAGGTCCTTCCTATGGAATCCTTGGGCGTGTTCCCAGCACTGTGCTAATTGCATGGTCTCAGGGGTCCTCAAGGGCCACTGCCCTGGGTGCTCGATGTTCCTGTTAAGGAAAGAAGCCAAGGCTCAGAGAGACGAAGGCCCAGACCAGTCACATCTGAAGGACTGGAAAACTGTTGGCACGGTGTGAGCAGGCTGGAATGATCACTGTTTGTGAAACTCTCCTTAAAAGCCGGTCACTGTAGAGATGTGCTGGCCGGAGAGATTTCTTCAGCGGCAGCCAGGGGATTTCTGAGCAAAGTCTATTTTTGTTCTGTGGCTTGTTTATCCAACCCCCTCCGCCCCCAATCCCCCCTGTTCCCGTCTCCTTTTTAGTAAAAAGCCTCTCTGCTGCTGATCTGGGCAACCCTGGAAGCCCTTTAGGGTGAGGTTGGAGGCTGATGTAACTTTCTAAAGATAGCCATGTTGTCGAGGTGTGAAAAACCTGCAGCCTGTGAGCAGATGAGCTCAGAGGGGCCAATTGAGGGCCGGGAGCTGGAGGGTCGGCGTCCGTGTGCGGAGGGAGGAGGGGGCGGAGGGCGGGGCAGCCCCTCCAGTTCAGGGCACACGCGGATACCACCTGGAGTGCTGCTGTTTGGAGAGCTGAACCCGAGGCACCGCGGCGCCCCTTCAGGAGCCTGGGTGCCTCAGAAAGTGGTCAGGCGCCGCAGGGGCTTGTCCATGCGGAACAAAGTGCGGCTTGGGGTGACTGACGCCAGCTGGGCTCGCCCAGTTCTTAAGGGTCTGTTTGCTGAGCCGCGGCCACCGAGGGCGGGGACTGGTATGCGTTATACAAACATCGGGCACCTGCAGCCTATTTTCGGTGGTAAAGTTTTGGGCTGTACAGGCTAACCAGAATGTCATAGCCATCCGAAAAGGAACTGTTGCCAATTGATTGGAAAAATGCCAGTGTCTCTGCTTGGGGTGGAATTGGACCAAGTCAGGCTTTGGGTAGTAACGCAGGCTGTGCACCGGTCAGGACCTCGACCAGCAGAAAGAGCAACAGCCAGCCGTCCGGGATGTGTCGCCTCGCCCCGGGATTGGGATGAGCGCCCCGGGAATGTAAGCGCTGCGACTCCTCACGGCAGCCCGGGGCTCGGGGCCTGCTATCGTCCCCGCCTCACAGACAAGGCAGCCGGGCCTTTTCGATGATGCTTAATATACCCGAGGTCACCCAGCTTCCAGGTCGCAGAACCAGAGCTCAGACCCAGGCCATTTGAGAGAGCAGGACCGAGCCCTAAGACCTTGCCTTGTTAATAAAATAAGGGAAAGCGGATGCTTTCTTACTGAATAAATGAACTGGACTGGTTAGCCTATTTGGAAACCTGAATTCTCCATGAGGGTGGGATGGAGGAGATTGAAAAAAAAAGATAAGTCTTTGCACTGAGAAGCCTGGGGATCATTAGTAGAATTGCCTGCCGGGATGAACCCCTCACTGACCGCTCCTTGCTGCGAGAAATGATCTGCGGCCTGATTGCCCTCACTGGTCATTTTGTGCGTGTCAGTGGTGGGATTGTGTTTTGCCAGGGATCCGCCCTGGGGAGATCGGGAGCGAGGCTTCCGTCACGTTTAGCTTTTGAGAGAATCACCGGGGGAGCGGAGGGGAGACTGATGGAGTGCTTGTGGTGTGCGGGGCACAGCCGCCCCCGGCCCTCACGCCGCACCTCTGCTTCCCTGGGGAGAGGCCGCAGCACCGAGGAGCCTCGTAGGGTGACGCAGCCGGGCAGCGTCACCTGAGGTTTGGATCTGGGGCGTCTTAGTCCGGAACCCCCCAGTTTGTAACCCCTACATTCTCAGATTGTGGAGGCAGAGGTGTGGCACTCCAAGACGCTTATGCTCCTCTTCCCCCCGGGGCCTTTCTTCACAGCTGGAAGCTGAGGCTGTGTTCCGTGCCATCACCATCGCCAGCCAGACCAACTGCCCTCTGTACATCACAAAGGTCATGAGCAAGAGTGCAGCCGACCTCATCTCACAAGCCAGGAAAAAAGGTGACCTGGGCTCCCAGGGCCTTGGGGCCCCTGCCCCGCCACGTGGCTCCTCCCCTCCCTGTCCGCCCTGGGTAAGCGGTGCCTGGTTTGCTGAAGGCCTGGCTCTCTGCAGAGCCCCTCGTCCGCATGGGCCCACTGGGTCTTCTCTTCCTCCCGGGAGGATGGCAGGATCCCGGGACTTGCCCCACGTGACAGGTGAACAGACAGGCACGGGATGGGGAGGTGCTTGGGCACAGCGGGGACACAGTGTACGCGAGTCCTTGGGCAACGCCGTGCGCCCTTCCTCCTGCCCGTGACCGTCTACGGTCAGTTCACGTATCTGAGCCGTGTAGAGGACATAGTAGTCGAAATGATTTTGGGTACAGAAGTCAAAGATCCAACCGAACTTTCTTTAAAAAACAAAACAGAGTAAATTCCTGGTTGAAGGTGTTTCAAGCATGGCCGGATCCAAGGGTTGAAATAATGACACTGGGGTTCTGTTACTTTTACTCCTTTCTTTGCTCTGCTTGCCTTTGGCTTTATTTTCAGTGTGAACAGAGGCAAACGTCAGTGTCAGAGAAGCCTCTCGTCCTGGACGCGGTCAGGGGCCTGGGGCGGGAGAGCACGTGCCCCCGGCAGCTGGAGCCGAGGCCCCCGGGGCGCTGCGATCGCCGGGCCTGGCCCGGGGGCTCACACGTGCCCGAGTGTCTGCTCTGGGGATGCCCCGCGTGACGGGCCGGGGTGGGGGGTGGAGTGCGCAGTGAGGCCCCACTGCTTGAGCTTGCATACTTCAGCACAAGGTATTTCAGAAAAGGGGTGGGGGGTGCCTCCAAAGAGACCTTCATGACCTGGGGCTCTGCCCCCGCTGCTTTCTGACCGCCTCCGCCTTCTCTCCTCCGTTGCTGTTAACTTGGGCTTCATTTGCTCACCTTGTGCCAAGCCAAAGTTCATTCTCATTTCAAAGCTTTCCTGCTCCTCTGTCCTTGTCCTCAATGGTGGGCCAGCGGGTTCCGTGTGAACGGCGTGTGGTTGAGGGACGGGAGGCACAGGGCTGTGTGTGTGTGGGTGGGAGAGAGCATTCGCAGGGTGCCTGGTTCTCGCGGCGTTACTGCTGGGTGCCGGGGGCCCTTCTGGCGGTAAGACACCCACGGCAAGTGGCTCCAACACTGGACTCAGAGCTGGTCTGTGAGACTCCACATGTGAGGGACCCGGGGGGCTAAAAAGAGCCCCCCACCTGGTGGCTAAGTGTGCAGCTGCCGGGTGTTCTGGCAGAGGCGACCCTTTTCTTAGCGGGGAGGCTTCCCAATTGCCTGGACAGTCTTCCTAGCTGGCAGGTTCTGGGGCGCCTCCCGTCTTACCCGCTCACAGGAAGCCTGCCGTGTTCTCTCCCAGCTTGTCTCAGCACAACAGGGTTCGGTTGCTCCACCGGCAGTGAGTCCCTGGGCGAGGACCAGGACAGCAGGCCAGTGTTCCTTACCTGTTCTTGGAGAAGGACAAAAAAAAAGAGAGAGAGAGAGAAAAACGAAGGGAAAGAGCAAAGTGCGTGGCCTCACCCACATCGCCCATGGCACCTGTCATACTCCCCCTCCTGCCTTCTGCTTCTGGTTGCAGCCAGCCTGGGCCCCGTTCTCAGGATGACCTGAGGGCCGCAGGGACGGGGCGTTTCTGTTATTTGCTGGGTCTTACTTTAAACGTCACATACAAAGCTTCTCGCCCTTAGCCTCCTGGCTCGCGACTCTCTGGCAGGGAGAAGTGGGGCAGCTGCATTGCAGGGTGACATCATGTCAGTGATGAACGACCGGCCACTGAGGTGGAAGCCACTAAACTCATGGACTGGCATTTGCAGGGAAAAAGTCAAGAGCATTCTAAGCAGGAGTGTGGTGGGGCCCACTCGTCCCTTCCGGCCAGAAGCCCCAGTGTATTTGATCACCAAGCGTTCTTTAGCAGCTCTTCAGGGCTGCTCAGAGACAGTGTGGGGAGCCTACAGGTTCAGGGGGACCAGCTGTGTGTCTGGCACTGAGATAAATGCTTTGAATTGATTATTATGTAGAAGTCTCAAAGATCTCTGGGAAATTGGCATTATCATCACCATTCGCCAGATAAGGAAATCAAAGCATGATTTACGCACGATCTCTTAGCCGGGAGAGCTAGTATTCAGCCCAGGTATGGTGAAAATCTTCGCATATTCTACTCTTCCATCAAAAGATAGTCCAGAGGGGGAGCCTTCTGCTCTGAAGGCTGTATTTCTTTTCATACACCCAACTGCTGGCCTTATTACTTTCATAGTTCCCTTTATTTGTGGTCCTATATATGCTTTAGGTCAGTAAATATTTTTGGAGAGGCCTTGGAATTCTCATCGGTCATGTGTGCACCCCTTTCATGCTCGTCCCAAAGGGTGGGGTGTCCTGTATGAATCACCACCACTGCTCCCTTTTGCCCACGGCAGACATCACACATCAGTCATGACTCTTTTCTAGTGAGACCAGAAGCGTGTGTAGAATTCTTCCCAGCATAGATTTCCAGGCAACCAAAACCAACTGATTGGAGTAGAAGCAAAGCAAAAGCTATTTATAAATCCTGGCCATAGAGCCTTCCTGAACTTTGACTTCGTGGGGAACTTGCATGTGGAAGACGGAAGACCAAAGACCAGCCCAGGTTGCTGCAGGGCATCTTTAGCCCAAGATGCTGGCACAGGGAAGTGTGAGGCCGACCAACCTTCTATGAGACACTGTTTGCCTTCTGTATCACAACCCCTTCTTTTCTGAGCAGCTCAGCTGAGATCAGTGTATTTCCTAATATCCTTCCTTCTCTCTGCTTTGTTTGGGCATGCAAGCCCCTAATTCTAGACACAGCATCTAAGAATGTAGCCTCATCTTTGATGTGCGCAGATTACTGGGTGTCTTTGAACAAGTCACGCCTTCCCTTAGGCCAAGGAGCGGCAGGCATGACGGGAAGCTCACGAAAGCCCCTCATCCACGGGCATGGAGTTTACCTTGTGGGACCAAAGCACGTCCTTGTAATAGTAGGGTTCAAGTGGTTCCCAGGTGATGGGGGCCCATTTGGGGCTTTGGGCCCCTGCAGTGGGAAAGGCGTAGGAGGTGTAAAGAAATCATAGTTACTGAACATCTGCATTCCAGGCACTTTTATATGCCAGAGCCTTCCATTTTCACAAACCTGAGCAGCAGACACTGTCTTATATCATCAATTCTGGGACGGATCTGTCCCACATTTTAGTAGTTCTGAAATGAGGCTGAATCTTATGATCAATATACATGTTTTTTGTTTAACCTCAAATGTTAATTTACTTCTAATTTGAGAATTAATGCTGTATCATATAACCAATGGCTCTTCATAAACTAGGCAATACCAGATTGTTCTCATTGGGCAGATAGAAAAGCCGAGGCTTTAGAAAAGGTGGGAACATGAACTTGAACCCGGGCCAGCCTGACTCCAGAGCCTCAGCCCTGAGTGGATTTAGGGATTGTAATGACCTGGGCGGGCCCAAAGCAGCACATTCATCATGCAGACCTGTTGATCATTTCGTACCCCTTGCAGGAAACGTGGTCTTCGGTGAGCCCATCACCGCCAGTCTCGGCACGGACGGGACCCATTATTGGAGCAGGAACTGGGCCAAGGCGGCCGCGTTTGTGACTTCCCCCCCGCTGAGCCCAGACCCGACCACTCCCGACTACATCAACTCCTTGCTGGCCAGGTGGGTGCGGGAACGGCAGGCATCAGGCGGTGCGTGGACACATTGTGAAGGCCACTGGGACGAGGACTGGAGTGGCCTATCCAGGAACTAGACTAGAGCCTGCGCCGAGGGGAGCGCACGGAGAATCCCCCTGCAGTCCTCGGCGTGGGCAGTAGGCTCTTCCCCATATTTTAAAAATTGCTACGTTAGTCATACTAATAACGGTAATAGCAGTTAATAGATACTATGTGCCAAGCGGTATGGGGAGACTCTAGGCGTGGTCTTGTCCCTCATTATGAGAGGGGACTGTCATCACCATTTTGCGGAGGAGGGAACTCAGGGCCAGAGAAGCCTAATTCTGAACAGCATGTAGCCAGAATCACAGGGACACTTGCTTGCTGCTGTCCCCATGGACGTGCAGGAACGGTTCCGTCCCTCACTCGGGTCCCTTTGCTTTGTTACCCGAGAGATGCTCTGATCCCGCCCGCTGGTGTTCCAGATGCGGTCACTGAGCCCCAGAGAGGGAAAGAACTCACACAAGCCCACACAGCTGGGCGGAGGCAGGGGCAGGACTCTAAATCAAGCTGTGGACACTGCAAATGCCTCTCCCATGAGGCACTCGATTCTGGGCCCCTGGGGTGTCTCTAGCTACCTCTCCCATTCACTTAAAGCTTCTCTCCTTTGCCAGCGGGGACCTGCAGCTCTCCGGGAGTGCCCACTGCACCTTCAGCACTGCCCAGAAAGCCATTGGGAAGGACAACTTCACAGCCATTCCCGAGGGCACCAACGGGGTGGAGGAGCGGATGTCCGTCATCTGGGACAAGGCTGTGGTAAGGATCGAGGGCAAGGAAGGGCGGCCAGGGCTAGATCAGAGCCTCCTGCCGCTGTTCCTTCACGGATGGGGCCTCCTTCCTGCTGAGATGTCTCTGGAACCAGGTGGCCCAGGTGCTTGGGGAATGTATAACTTCCAGAGTGTGATGGATCCTGGGGTCTGGGATTCGCAGGAGACCTTCTTATCTAGACTATTGGGGACTAGGCAGCAGACATGCAGATCCTTCATTGGGTGGCATGGATGGTCTGTGCCTAACATCATAGTGATTTAAAGTCCTTTTTGTTTGGGAAGTGTTATCACTTCCTTTGAAAGGGCTGGATATAAACCTTTGAAGTGATAAGCAAGAGATATATGCCTAAAACTAAAGTCATCTTGCTTATCAACGGTGCCCTGCACTGGTGCGTGTGAACATTCAGGCTGCGCAAGTGATTGTCTATCAGTGTCTACTGGCAGCGTGGCCTGGTTTTATTTTCCTTCTTAATATCACAGAGGCCGACAAAAGAAATAGCCGTGCAAATGAGTTTCTCTCAATGATTTTTAGTACAATGAATAATTAACTCGTTATAGTAAGTTGATCATTTCCCCTGTTTTTTTAATATTAAAAACTTTTATTTAAAGACTCTGAATACCCTCATTTCAGAGCCAAATAGATATATATGAACCAGTGCCCCATTTATCTACAGTGTATAATCTAGCAAGTTTCCTTTTCTTCTTGGCTTCCAGGAAGCTCAAAGGTGGATTTTAAACTAAATTCTTTTTCTTATCCAGGCTTTTTTTTTTTGAGAAGACAAAAAGCATAAATATTTTTGTCTCTTTCACATACTTGGATTTTGCCTTTTTAAAAAAACTTACATATTTACAAATGTACTATATATCTTGGCACTTATCTGGAATTGTTAAAAAATGGTACATATATTTTAATTACTAACATGATACATTCTTAGTAAAGAACACTTAGAAACCACAGAAAAGCCCACACCCAAAAGGAAATAAAAATCACTCCTAGTTTCACAGCCCAGGGTTAACCATTGCTACCATTTGGGTGAGGTTCTTCCATATTTACCCTGTGCCTATGCAAATACACGTATCTAAAAAAATGGACATATAACCACATTTGTTTTGCCCTATAATCTTTCTTGGAAGTAGAAGGGGTAAATAAGTAAATGTATGTACAAATGTAGGAAAAACAATGCCTACTTGAGGAGAAGTAACTTCTGTTTTAAGCCATGTGTTTAACCCTTTTGCCTGGGCAGCCGTGGCAGCCCAGCCGATTCTGTGGCTCGCTGGGTGGGGCTTCATAGTCGTCCTGCTGTGAGCTCATGCCCTGCCTTGAATTTTTTTTTTTTTGGTATCACAATAGGCCACAGGGAAAATGGATGAAAACCAGTTTGTGGCTGTGACAAGCACCAATGCTGCCAAGATCTTCAACCTGTATCCCCGCAAGGGAAGAATATCTGTGGGTTCTGACAGCGACCTGGTGATATGGGACCCGGATGCCGTGAAGATCATCTCTGCCAAGAGCCACCAGTCGGTGAGGCCGGAGCTGGCGGGCGGGGAGCGGGTCGGGAGAGCCGTGCATCCCTGGTGTGCCAGTGTAACTGCACTAGGGAGGACGTGTTGCGGTGACAAACCATCCCAGATTCTCGGTGACATAAAAGCTCACCAGTTCATTTCTCACTCCTGATTTCTGAAATGGGTCAGCTGAGGGGCTGCGCCCAGCACTGTTGGCTGGGGTAGAAACCGACAGGGGCGCTGCCTCCGCACTTCCAGGATTGCTGAAGCCGGGGACCAGGACCCGGGCGATGACGTACCAGTTCAGAAGGCTTTCTTACATCACTTCCTCCCCCTCTGCATTGGCCAAAGCCAGCCCCGTGGCTGCTCCGTACTCCAGGAGGGCAGGAAAAGCAGTGGTACTGTGTGCCCAGAGGATAAAGGACAGGAAAAGAATGGTGAACAGCAACTGACCACTTCCTCATGGGGAGTTTCACGTGAAAAATAATTTGTGAAGCCCAGTGCCTAATGGAAAGGTGCTTAATACTTGCTAGTAAAAATAGTTGATATTTTTTAAGCACTTATGTTTCAGGTACTATGTTTCAGTTCACTGAATCTCCGTAACAGTCTATGTGTAGGCGCTGTGGTTATCTCCACTTTATAGAAGAGGAATTGGAGGTGCAGGAAAATTAACTTAGTAGCAAGTAAATGGTGAAGCTGGAATTCAAACCCCCACAACGTGACTCCAAACTGACGTCCTTAGCCACTCTGCCACAATGGCTCATACTTGTTGAATAAAGGAAGGAGGTGGGAAGAAGTCCCAGTTTTGGTGGAGAATGAATGGTCTTTGCTTAAACATCGTATCGTATCATTATTTTCAAGCTAGTGGGGACCTACGGTCATGTAACCCACTTGCCCACCCACCTCATATGGGTCTGCCAAGCACAGTGTCTCCGATAGTTATCTTTGAACACAGCCAGTGACAAAATTTACTTCCATCTAAGAACTTTACTAAAGATGCTTCTCTTTGCTAGGAAATACGCTCATAGCTAGCATGTGTCGCCCGGGCCGGTACGGTACCCGCTGAGAGCTGGCAGGGGCACTGTATGCATTTCCTGGCCTTACCTGGTGACTCAGTCCTGGTGAAGGTGGAAGGCAGGATCCCCGGCAAGGAGCACCACGGTCCCCTCCCCGCTTCCTGCACCATTCCCATGGCTTTGCCCCTCCCCCTCGTCTCTAGGCTGCCGAGTATAACATCTTTGAAGGGATGGAGCTGCGTGGGGCCCCGCTGGTGGTCATCTGCCAGGGCAAGATCATGCTGGAAGACAACAACCTGCACGTGACCCAGGGGGCTGGCCGCTTCATCCCCTGCAGCCCGTTCTCTGACCACGTCTACAAGCGCATTAAAGCTCGGGGGAAGGTGAGAGGCTGGTGGAGTCGGGGTGTGGGGAGGGGCGGGTGTCCCATCCAGGTCCAGCGACAGTAACCATGAGATCGGGTGGGTCTGTGTGCCAGGCCCGCGCGAAGACATTCACAGCAAAGATCCCTTCCCAAGGGACAGTCACACAGGTATGTGTTATGAAAGGAGGCTTCGAAAAGTTTTCTGGCCAAAGAAAGCTTTTGAAAAATGATTTCCCCATTTTTATTGTGCCCCTATTTAAGATATTTTGAATTTTTAATAAATCAAGATAATGTCAATATATATATTTTAAAAAATAAATTACCCTCTAGGGCTTACAACAAGAACCAGCAGCCCACGCCCTCCCCTCCCCTCCCTGTCCCATCCTGCCCAGGGTCGCTCCCCAGGGGCAGGTGTTTGTAACTCTTCTAGTGAGTTCTGTGGTTGCAGTAAGATCTTGTGTCCCTGATTTCATGGATGGATGAATAGGTACAGGTGAATGGATAGATAGACGTGTGGGTGTCTGTGTATCATCTACACAGTATAAACGGCAGCTCCAGGTGACCTGAGGACAAGGCCCAGAGCTCTGTCTTCTCAGCTCCTCCTCCACCCCACACCAGCCTGCAGTCCACCTTCTTGGAAGGTTAGGTTTCCACAGAACAGGGTTAGACCAGCCCCGGGGTCATGGGATTTGAGCCCTGGTCTGACCTCGTCTGCAGGAAGAGAGAAAGTCAGCCGTGCGCATGGGATGGAGGAGACGGGGAATAAGGGGCACTCACTCTTAAGTTGCTGGGCCCGCCCAGAGCGAACAGCCATGCCTGCCTGTGTGCCTGGACGCAGCTCCGGGGCCCCCAGCGCCCCTGGAGGTCAGGGCGAAGGGGGCTCGGAGCAGTTTCCCTGGGAAACAGGCTCTGCGAGGGAGATGTGCCAGCAGGAGGTTTGCGGGGGATTGTTTTCAGGATCGCCCTGTGGCAAAAATCAGAGCAGCAGGGCAGGAGCAGGGCAGGGCGGAGGGCGAAGTCGGGCAGCGACACAGTCAGAACAGGGGCCTCAGCAGAGCCTCTGCTGGGCCGCTCCTTGCAGGTGGTCTGAGCCTTACACTCCCTCCCTCCTCCCCCAGCCCAGCCTGCCCACCAGGCAGTGGAGGCGGGCTGCCCCTGGGCGAGGTGGGGGCTGGGGACAGGCGTCGGTACCGCTGTGTCGGCCAGAGGAGGCCCACAGAAGCCCACTATCCAAGTGCCCCCTCCTCCTCCCCAACCCCCAGGCTTCCCGGGAACTGGACATCCAGCCCCTGGATGTTGGCACAGGGAGCCTCCCCGCCTTGGAAGGGAGGCAGCTGCCCACCCTGCTGTGGGAAGGAGCTGCTTTCTCCTGGGCTGACATCCACCTCCCTGAAGTCCACCAGCCAGTACGGTTCCGCCCCGGCACCTGCACAGACCGAGCCTCCCACACCTCCCCCAGCGTCTGTGTGTTTCCAAAAAGTCATCTGTCGTTTAGTCTGATTATCCCTGTAGTCTTCCCTTATTTTAAGATACTGTTTTAAATCCCTTTCCCCCATTTTTATCTCTTTATTGGTGATCGTTTTAAAGCTAGGTATTACGGAGTCAAAGGCCCCCCTCTGGTTTTGTCCTAATAGAGAAGGGATCTCAAAATTCGCCTCTGTCAGCTCTTCATTTCCCTGTATCTGACTTTGATTCTGGACCCCACGAAATGCTGATGATGTACCGTTACTGGCCGAGGGTTTGGGGAGGTGCAGATGGGATCGTGAGCCCACTCGCATCATTCGCGTCTGCAGCTTGGATGAGCTTTGCCTCTGTGCCTGCACAGAGGGTGTCACCCCGCCGGCACTGAGGGTCTCAGCAGCTGCTGCCCTTGCGCCCCTCAGCTCCGGCCCCCCAGGCGGTTCTCCCTTCCCCACCCTTCTGCTGGGAACGCTGCCGTGCACACCACTCCCCTGCACGCCCCACCTCCTCCCCCCTCAGCCCCGGCCCCACGCAGGCGCCCTAGGTCCTCCCCCTATACACACTTGGTCCATCAATGTAGTTGTGCCACTTGGAACAGAACCCTTACTTGTTGGAGGAATGAATGGCCACGTGCTTTCTCTGCTGCAGATGGCGGACCTGCACGCGGTCCCGAGGGGCATGTATGATGGGCCAGTGTTTGACCTGACCACTACGCCCAAAGGGGGCACCCCCGCAGGCTCCACCCGGGGCTCCCCGACGCGGCCGAACCCCCCCGTGAGGAACCTCCATCAGTCAGGATTCAGCCTGTCGGGTGAGTCGGGCGAGTCGGGCAAGCCGGCCTGACGTTGTTCCAGGGCCAGCAGGTGGTCCTGGGAGCTGGTTACTGGCCAGCAGGAAGGTTTGCTGCTGAGAAAGCAAGATAAGGCTCTGCCAGGTTAAGGAGGAGGTTTAAATGACCTGTTCCGAGAGATCTCACCTGGTGGGGTGGGGCAGGCGCTTCCCATTAGGGGCTGTTAGCGATGATTACACGTTAGATGGCGAGGGCGGTGGGCTGGGTTGTGTTTACCGATTGTTTGCCCAGGTGGAAAGGCAGCTCAGATGATGCTGGTGCTCAGTTGCAAGAGCTTCTTCTAACCTCAGATTTTTATTATATTCTCCCGTTCCTGGTCATAATACTAATGCTAACAGTAGCTACTGTTGCTCGAGCATTTGCCATAGGTCAGCCGTATTAGCGATCTGTTCGTTAATAGATATTAATGGAAAACAAGTCTTCAGTTACTCCATTGCAGGTCGTCTTAAGATGGGGGAAAAAGCATAGATTTGCATCTCTATAATGAACAGTTTAAACGTGAGAGAAGCGGATAACAAGGGCGCAGAGACACATAAAGAGAAAACTGCAGTGATTGGGGATAGAAAGGGAGTGAGGGACAGGAAACGGGGGGAAAAGGGGTCGGAGGGACAAAGACGGGGAGGACCACAGGAGAGGGCTGAAGGCTGGGGGTGACGATGCCAGAGGTCACATTGGGCTAGTCACACAGAGTTTGTGGCATTGTTTTCCCATTGCTCACTGGCTGCTGTGATCTCGAAGCAGCTCCTTTCTGAAGGGACACGAGTGAGCGCACACCTGTGATTCCTTGTGTGCTGATGCTGCAGGGGCCCGACCATCACCACCTGGGAGTCGTGAGACCCGGGGCAGGTCACCCCACCCCTCACAGCCCATCCGCTGAGCTGTAGAGTGGGGCGTCTCCCAAAGGCTGGTGGTGAGGACTGAGTGAGACAATCTGAGAAGCATGTAAAACATTGTCACAGTGCATGTAAGCAGCGATTTTTCATGTCACACCCGTTGTTCCTTTTAATGTCCCTGTTATGATGCTGAGGATCTGGTGGAGTGTAGGTAGGAACCCGGCTTTTCCTGTCGGGGGTGGTTTTCAGGAGGGTGGGTAAGAAAAGTTGGGAATGCCTGGCAGACCAGAATGGAGGTTTCTTGGGAGATGAGGCCAGGAAGGCCCTTCATGTCTGACCCCCTTCAGGCTAACCCAGGTTCTCCCTTTTTCTCCTCGCTCCCCTTTTTTCTTCCTGGAAATTTCTTGCCGACTTGCAGGTACCCAGGTGGATGAGGGGGTCCGCTCGGCCAGCAAGCGCATCGTGGCGCCCCCCGGGGGCCGCTCCAACATCACATCCCTGAGCTAAGAAACCCCTTCCCAGAGGGGGGCGAGAAGAGATGTCTGAAGCCAAAACGGTACCCCAACATGTCAGAAGGAAGGAGGATCCAGTGGCGACCTAAAGAGTCGATAAGCCTGAAGCCTTATGTTTCTCTGATGTTACGCTCGCTTGCCTAGCTTTACGAATATCGCTTTGTTTTCTGTTTATGCCTATAGCCCTGATTGGTTTGACGCCCTCCCCCATCTACATGCATGCAGTCAGACAGGCCCTGAAGGCGCAGAGCCTGCTCTGTAGTGTTGAGAGCGTGTGTAGTGCTACATCTTACGACACGGGGACAAAGCTGGGATGTCAGGAACATGAACAAAAGGGACGCAGTTATTTGGGGTGCACGGGTGGTGGGAGTTCGGAGCAAAGCAGAGAGCTCAGAGGGGCTGGGGTGGGGCGTGTGGAGGGAGGGGGGCGGGTGGGTGAGCATAAGGGGGTCTCGTGTATTGTATTGATGACGCATGTTTATTTCCATGGAAGACGGCCACTTGGGGCAGCTGTCACCTCCACACAGTCCCTTGGGGTCTGGAGCAGGCAGGCGGTCTTCAGGTTCCAGACGTTGTCATGTCCCCTCCTACCTTTTACTCCTTTGAACATTTTATTAAAACATCAAAACCCAGCCATAACTTCCACCTGCTTGATCGTTCTGGCATTTGGTTGGGCCTCTTTCTCAGCGTTGCTTCCAGATTCTTCCCTTTCCTGGGCTGGGCAGGAAGAGAGAGGAGAGCAAAGGGCACTTCTCTTCTCTCGCCCTACCTGCCCCTTTGGTGCTTTTACAAGGCTACAGCTGGGAGCACAGCACAGACCCTGCGGGGAGGGGCAGCCGTGCTTACCCGACACCTGCCCCCAGCAGGTGTTGGAAGGCGCCACTCAGCGCCCGTCTTTGTAAGGGGAGGGGAGTAGCGTGCCTCTGGCATCCCGAGTTAGGACCGGAGCTGAGACGGACCCATGGAAGGGCTGCCCTTGCCGGCGGTGAGTGTTTGATTCTCTCCATATCTTGAGTTCCAGGCACATCCACGATTGAATAGGATGTTTTGTTTTGAAAATTTATTTTCTTAGGTGTTCCCTACACTCTACTAACAGGTAATCTCAGTTTATAAAGGAGCCAAGCAGGGATTTGGGAAAGCCAGTCTTGGGCGGAGGGAGCCCCGTCTGTGGCCCTCATTCTGCTCTTCGGTCCTAAACCATCCGTTTCCCCTGCTGTTGGCATGTCCTTCAGGGGAACTTTCTGTTTCTGTGCTGAAACCTCCCGGGGCGAGTGGAAGTGGCATGCAGCCCTCCCGTGCCACATAAACGACATTAGCATGGACGGCTTGCACCTGTCTTGTCTGTCCGAGCTGAACGTCCATTTCAGAACGAGTTCTGTGAGCTCCATGAGGATCTGTGGACCCCAGAGGCGGCCCACATAAAGGAAAAATATGTCCAACCTGGGCTCAGACTTCTGTGCTTGGGGGCTCCAGCTGGTAGATCCCATAACGCTGGGTCCTGAGTATGTTAGAAGGAAAGAAAAAGCACACCTCAGACACCTTTCAGCTGCTTAGGAGAAGCCATTATCTCTGGCTGCAGGTTTTTAGTAAGTTAAAGACCAGAGAAAATGGAACACGTGGCTGAGAGGAATTTGAAAATAGCCAAGGAATAGGATTTCCCCTAGCAAGCTAATTTCTTGTTCTTACCAGGAAAACAATTACTTCTCATAATAAGGAATCTTGCTATTTCAAGGGTTTTTCATGGTGCCTTTGTTTTAAGGGATATTTAAGTGAAGGGGGGCGTGTAGTTCTGAATTTGTAACTCGAGGACTTAGGGGCCCGCTGTAGAACTCAGAGTGACAGTTTGCACGCAGAGGGGGCTTAGCCGACCCGAATACCTCATTGGTCGGACTGGACCGTAGGATGTGTTGCAGTACCAGCCACGACCACCAGATGGAGGAAAAGATGCGTAAATAAACTTGTGGAACCCCCTGCTGTTCCCCGGACCCCTGAGTCTAACTTGTCCCTCCGTGATCTCCCTATGCCGTGAAAATAAATCTTTCATGGCCAGATCGGTCGTCTGCGCTATACTTGGGGATTCCTAAATGAAGCATTTAACCAGAACTTCATATTCTGTGCAAGCTTTCCATGCTGTAGGATCAACCCCTCAATGCCCCCATCAAGGGCAGGCAACAAGACCTGAGAAAGACCCCCTTTCTTCACATATTAGTAACTTTCCAAGCATAGAAATTCCTGAGACTGCCAAGAAAACTCCTGCTATTTTCCTTGACTTGGTACTCAAGTTAAAAATTAATATTCAAATGTGTCTTGTTCCACGGGACGCACTGAAGATTCCAATACGAAGGGTTTAGGAAGTGACCGTGCCAATGAGTCGTTGCCCTCGGGGTTCACTGGCATCTCACCCAGGTGTGGGAGGGCAGGCTGGATCTTCCGCCTCCCACCCAAGCTTTCTCTGGCCATCTCCCCTCTCGGCCTGGCCCCTCTCTAAGGATGCCCTGCCTACCCCCGACCTTCTCACATTGTACCTAAACCCAGACGGCAACCTGGGAAGGCCACCATCGTGGGTAATTGAGAAGGTAGCTATGGAATTGTTAAATCAGCCACCCCAGTAGAGAAATTTCTGCCAGGTTTTCTAAAAGTGGCACAGTAGTAGTCATCCCCCAAATGGGCTTTCTTCCAAGTCCAGCCATCCTGTGTGGCCTTTGTCTTCATGCCTACACCCAGAGAATCATGCTCCCCTCCAAAGGCCTCCGTTCTAATCCTGCACTTCCGCTCACCCCGAGAAGCCCTTCCTAAGTGGGTGGATGAGTCCCAACTTTCGTTCTTGCCACAAAGTTTCCAGGCCTTCCCCCCTGGAAAACTCCGGCTTGAGTCCCAGATGTTACCCACGGGCTGTCCCGGGCAGCCAGCATTCATTGTAAGTTCCCTCTTTGGAAAATGGTGTGTGGGTGTTCAGTTCCGTGTCTGGTGAATGTGGACAGACCGTAAACCTCCCTGTGACCTGTGGTAGCTGTGAGGCGGCTCTGGAATGTGAAGGGCTGCTTGGTTTGAACCGTGAAGAAAACTGTGTTTTGAGTTTAGCTGAGATTTAAAAAAAAAAAAAAAAAAANGACTGTTAATGTAAACCTGGTTATTAAAATAATTGCAAAATCACATTTGCCATCGTCCAGCCCTCTTCTGTGTGCGACGTGCCATTTCACCTAAGGTATTAAAATTGCAAAATAAAATTGCAAAATTGCAGACCTGGCGAAAATGGTTATCCTGAGAAAATTTGCAGAGTTTGTCTTTCCAGTTGAGGCTGACTTGTTTTAGCCACAGAGTTTAATCACCATGATTGAAACATTGGAGAATGACTCAAGTTTTTCCTATAGATCATCAAACTTAGTATTTGTGCAGAAGGCACTTCCGTTTGGGGGTAAACCTGAGTCCAGATGGTCCCAAAAGGTTTTTGTTTGTTCGGTCATCATCCCCTTAAAGCATTTTCTGCTGCTTCCTACAAGCCTAGGCTTTGAGAAACTCAAACTAAGCATTTTCCAAGATATATTCTTTAGCAAAACTGATCCCAAGGAATCTAAAGGTGTTGGGAAGGATTATTTACTGTGTCTACTCTGTTGGGAGGTTTAAAGTGCACATCGTCAAGTCAAAGACTATAAGTCCTGTCTTTCAAAATGTGTCCGATTCAAGGTTCTCAGACTTTTTTCACTACTGAACCCTTTATCTTGTCTCATCTTTTAATGTTCTACCTACTCGATTATACTAAACCCTTTCTGGGAAACACTCCTGGGTCCAATTCCAATTTAGGTAGGACATTTTTTACTGCAGTGGTAGACTAATGTAGGCCAAAAATTTTTTTTAGGTACATTAAAAGTCTGGTGTGACTGAAAACTTGAGGGATGGATTGGACGGATTCGAGCACAGCTGGATCTAGAACGCTGTGGCCTTCTAGCTCTTAGCCCTGCTCACCTTAGTGTCATTCTTAGGAAAGCTCTCCATGCGGGAGCGAATCTAGCCATCAGCTTCTCCAGGTTTTCATTTACCTGCTTAGCAATTTCAGGGAAGGAGGGACTCCCTCAATAGGCCCAGCCAAAGAGACTGATCCTGACTGGTTTGAGCTGGCTCAGGTGTTCACTGTGGCCAGGAGCCTCGGAGACTGATTGGCCACCTGGTGCCATGTCCAGCCCCTCAGCCACCCAAACCATGTGCACTCAGTAACTCAAAGAAAAACCATCTGTGATACCAGAAGAGGGGGTGGGTGCTGGGCAGGCAAAAAGAGCAGGTGACCGAGCGCCATTCTCCAGCCTGCGGGCATTGAGTGTTCTGCTCAGCTAAGTGCCTGGGTGGTCACGGGGGCAGGTGGAGGAGGGTAATTCCTTGTGAATTGTTTTTATGTGTGATGAACCCCTCTTGGTTGGTAGAACAGTGCTGTCAGTACAGGAGCGTGGAGTGATGATACCTCTTAACACATGCTTAGAAAACATCAAAAGCTAATTTAAGCACGTAAAGAATTCTTTCAGTTTGAGGTTCACAGTCTGACCCACAGTCTCATCTTGTGTTTGAACTCTGTATTGGTGAAACACTTCTCCTGCTCGTGACCGAGGCAGCTCTGCTCTGCCTAGGATTAGCGTGGGCGTGAAGGGCACGGCCAGTGCTTAAAATGAACCTAGGTTGCAGGGTTATAAATGGGACGAAACTTTTTTTTAATGTTGTGATACAGTGACTGACTCTCACGCCTCTGGGGGCTGGAGGTACGCAGGGCTGAGTCACGTTTGCCCAGGTGGGGAAGGAGAACACCGATCAGGAATAACAAGGTCCTGGAATCAGCTCTGCCAGCATCAGGCCATCACAGAGGGGACACCAAACATGAGCAGGAGATGGACGAAAGGGCCAAAGCAGTCTGCAAACAGGAGATCACAGAGCTAAAGCGGGCACTCGGAAGAATCCAGAGAGTTCTAGATCCTTCCCTGTGTTCAGTTGGCTGCTGAAACAAAACAGGACACTTAACATGATCTGGACAACGGGCACTTGGCATGCAGGTCATTAGAGCCCACAAGACTTAGCAAGGGACCATTTATTTCAGGACAAACCCAGGGAACCAGCTGGCCTACCTGCTGGTAAGCTACTGTGGGTCTGAGAGGCAGTTGGAAGGTCCCTTGATTCTCTCCTAAGGCAGACGTTGCTGCAAGAGCTCAGAGCTGCCTGCTACCTTCCTGTCCCAGGTATGGGCTTTGGAGCATGCACCTGCTGCTCGGGTGTAGGGATGGGACTGGAGAAAGCTGCTGAGGGACAGGAAGGAAGAGGACTGGACAAAGGTGCCTTGGCTGGCTGTGGGCTCAAGGTCCCAGTGAGAGGAAAATGTGCAGCTCGGGGCTGTGCTCCTTAAGGTGTGAATGAAATGCTTACAGGGTCAGGTGTTGGTTGTTATCCATGTGGGTCGGTTAAACTGCTGCATTCCATGGTTCTAGAGCACCATCTCTAACACCAGCTTGTCTCTAAAGGACTTGCTCATGGTGGGAAATGCAAACAAGAACAGTGGCTTCGGGCAGCCACAAACTTGAGACAAACAGTTCCACAAGGCTGACGACGAGGGGCCAGTGGTTTACAGTACACAGAAGACATTTTAATACACAGGCACATTTACTTTATATATATTACACTCAACAGAAGCACGTGTCCCAGCCAAGGGCTGCCTGCTCACAGCAGCACAGATAACAGAATTTTGAATTTTTGACGTCAGTGTTTAGAACCAGACACACCGAGCTTGTCAGAAAGGCAGTCCCAGGCGGACAGTGGGAAACGGGGGGTGGTGTAGACCAAGCGCGGGGCGACTGGATGCTGAAGTGAACTCACCCTCCTTTTCATTCAGCTTTCAAAGAACTGAAGCCTTAACATTGCCGCACCAGCTAAAAGTAGAAAAAGGCTGGTCCCTGCTGGCTGTGTTAGCGTTCCTTCTCCCTAGTCATGCATCCATCAGTCTGGAAGAGCTGTGAAGGAATAGTCTAGGCATGTCTAGTTAGAACCTACCAGAAGATGCTTAACCACTAATTAAATCACCGTAACCGACGGAGTGGGGCCGTGCACCGCACGCTCTGCCCTCGCAGTGACTCCGCCGCCCTGGAGCCACGGTGGAGATGCGCCAGCCCCAGCAGAGCATTCCCTGCCTCCCCCACTGGAGGGCACCGGCTGCCCCGGGGTGGGGGCCCTGATGGCGGGTGAGAGCGTTAGACCCGGGACGCTTCTGCTCCTTAAAACCTCAGGCTTATCAGACGCTCCACCCAGGCCAGCGAGGAAGCTGGTGGAAGAAACAGATCCTAGGAATGCCGGACGAAAGGATGCCCTAGCCACTCTGTTCTCTTAGATTCTTGGCCCTGAGCCTCGGTTGTCACAAATCTAGATGAGACGTGTTCCACTCAGTAGGATAGTCACTTTTAGCCCATCTTATGGAATAAAACTAAAGGATCTGATTTCAGCATCTCTCGTAAGGATTTAGGCATCCTTGTTAATTTTTGGAAAACTTTTTTGTCCTGATGTGCGCTGGTGGGAGTTATGATCGGTTATAACCTGTAATCAGCTGTCCTGGACTGCTGGAGACGCCACGCTTTGTCTTTCCTGACTGGAAACCCATTGTGGGGTTTCCCTAGGCATGCTCACAAGCTGACTGGGTCGGAAATCCGTCTTCCTGCCCTGAGGCTGTGCCCTGCAGTCAGGCCATCGTGGCTCCTGAACACCACGGGGGTGCTTCGGGCACAGAAGCAGCTCCTCGCTGGAGGTAAAAACCAGGGCTTCTGACTGCAGAGGCTGTGTTGGATTGTAATCCAGTCTCATCATAAACTGCACAGGCGCAAAGGGGCACGAATGATGAGCCCCCATCCCAGCGGACAGCCCACCGATCCACTGCCCTTTGCTAAGTGTTTCCCAAAGTCTCTCCTTCGGGATGACCCACACGGGGTCATGGCCAGAGGAGGAGCCGGGACTGGCGACATCAGTGCAGAGCATATCAGGGCTTGAGTCAAATGAAAGATGGGAGCTAGCCAGCAGGCGGCCCCTGACACCCCAGGACTCCGGCCGGCAGCAGGTGCTGCCCACCGTCTTGCTCTTTTCAGTCCGTCCCCCCTCCTTGTGAAGCCGAGTCAGGGCAAGTGCTTAAGAGTTTACAGTGTTGGGGAAAAAAACAGCACAGACAAATAATGTGTGGGAAATGTAGAGAAAAGGAACCAAACAGCACGAAAGAGCTGCTTTAATTCCTAACAAAATGTAGTTGCTCTTAAAGGAGAAAAGCACTACGTTACAGCTCTGCCAGAAATCCTGGGCCTATTAGCTCAGTGAGCAGAAAACCCTAAGTGCCCAGTTAAAGCCCAGCGCTGGCGTTCTGCCCACGATCACTGCCCCAGCGGCACCTCCCTCCTGGAAGGTCTGGGGTGGCAGGCAGTTGCAGCTGTTACCTATGCCCACTTCCACGTGTCTGCTTTCCCAGATGGGTGCCAATCTGGGCTTGCCTGCTGTCAGCTTACTGCGCCCTTGGAGAGGCCCACACTCTGCACAGGACAAGGTTTGGGGGATTTGAGTGGCCGAGAGGCTAAAGCAACTCCCCACGAAGCCCCTTGGCTTCTCGACTCCCCATGCAGAGGCGCCCATGAATTGCCCAAGTCCCTCAGCCAAGATCCATGTCTCAGGACGGTGGAGTTACATCAGATGCACGTGTCACTTCGGTGAATTGTTTGGGGCAAATAAATAAATAGAATAGAAGGTAGAAGAGTGAGACATCGATCACATTTTAAATAACTAGGCAATTCTGCTCGCCATTCTCACAGCAAGTGTAGGCCAGCCTTGCTGCTGCTTTCGGCGGCCTCCTGGGCCTGAGGCCTCCCAGGTGGGGCGGCAGCCCGAGGCTCTAAGTGCAATTCTAGTTTAAAGGCTTAGGTACAATTTGCCCAACATGTTGGTTTATCTGATAGTAGCCAAAAATGAGACCAAAAGTAAAAACAAAAGAAAATCAAAACGAACCCCAGACAGTGACCTGTTCATTGTGGAAGGTGGTTCACTGTCCTGGGCTTCATGAAGAAGAGAGCCCCACCATATGTTACAGGTAATTTGAGAGACTTTTCAAGGGTAAATACTACTATCCTCCAAATTCACCTTCCGTTCTAAGACTGGAACTCCTGCGTAAGATACGACTTCACTGTACTACAAGGTGGACACGTTTTTGATGTGACGATATTCTTTCTTGTTCCTCTCTGGACATAGGTCTCTGATAGTCTTAAAAGGACAATCAGCTCTCAACATTCTTACTCAAAAAAGGTGCAAATAAATACTTAACAACTGGCTTGCTAGGAAGGGAAACAAGCATTTGTAACATTTGCTGCGTTTGCCACCTGCTGTGGTGTAAATACTCCCATCATCACTAACTGCAATCTTGCGACCCGGGTGTTGGGACAGACGGGCAGCAGGCTCTTGCTAGCCGATACAGGCCGATAGGGCGTGCTGCCTCCCGCCCACCCCGGGGAGGCCTGCATAAGCCTGGCTCCTCCTAATCTGTTCTCATTCGTTTTCTTCCTGATTGAAGACCTTATGCCTATTCAGTCAGGCTGGGAGATTCTGACCTCTGAAATTGCTGAGCTCTGAAGCGCCTCCCTCACTCACCCACCTACGTCCCTTTGTTCATTTGTCCCAGTGTGATTATAAGGAGTGGAAAATTAGATCTGCATCCAAATATCCCTTTTAAAATAAAAATAAAAGCTGTTTAGAATAACAGAATGGTAGCAGTAAAGAGGAGAGTAGAGTCCTTCTAGTATAACCCTCTCGTTTTAGATGAATAAACCAAAGCAGAGAAAGGGGTTAAGTGACTTGCTCAAGATCACACAGTTAATTAGTGGGAAAGACCCCAAGGGCCTGGCGACTCTCTTCGCTGTGTCATGCCGCCTCTTTCTAAAGGTGCTCATTCAGATTTTCTAAGGTGCGTGAGGTGTGAGGAGGCAGGGCCTGTCAGCAGTTCCGAGGACTTCCCAGGTTGGTATTCTGGCCATCCTCTTCCTGTGGGTCTTTGGTTTGTTCCAAGGCTACATTTGCTTGTCTTTTATTAAAGTCCCTCTTTACCCTTAAAAGGAAAAACAACAACAACAACAGAGGGTTTATTCATTGAAAAGAAAAAGAAGATTCAAGCTTTGAAGTGACAGCGTTAATCCCAACAATTTAATAAAGAGGCACTAACTAAGGGAAACTTAAAAACATCATTGATTGAAGTCCCATTTCCTCTGCCCCTCCCATTAACAAAATCTTGATGCTAAGCTAATTCACCTGTTGAAGTTTTTGGAAGCTCTTACAAGAAAAAAATGGTTTCTGAATTTTCCAGATGTTCTATTACGGGTGTAAATCATTTTTGTGATTAGAAAGAATAAAAAATGTTTCAAAATATATTAAGGCTCTGCAAGTAAAGCCTGGCTGAAACACTATTATTTGTTGGGTTGCTGTTCTTCCAGGAGTTACTTACTTATCTCTGTTGAAAATTATGAATTCCTTCTGGACGGATTCAAGATGCTCTTGAAGAAGGTACATCTTCCAGGTGAACACGGAGAAAAAGACAGGGGTACAGTTAGCAGACCAGTGGGGACCCACCAACAGCCGATAACCCGTTCTCTGTTCACTGAATGGCCCAGATCGTAACAACTGCCATTGTATCTTCAAGGTGGATGCTATCTGAGAGTCTGTGGCAAGACTGAGACCCCAGCCAGAATAAGAAGGAAACGGGGAAGCAGCAGCAAGGGGCTGGTCACACATGCCAGCCCTGCCCTCTACAACGAGCCAGCCAGGAAGGTGACCTTATGGTTCGTGAACATGAGGTCTGTGAGCCAACGTAGCCCACGGACAACCCGCAGCTTCACGGAGCTGGGGGCTGCTCGCCCCTCATCTCCTGGCCCTCCTGGAAGAGGCCTGGAGGCTCTACTTGGATCTGGTCAATAGTCAGGGACGTGCCTCCACCCTGAGTTCTGACGGACTGTCCCCCCTCGGCAGCCGTGCTGGGGCTGATGCGCCGCTTCTGTCGCAGTGAACGGCGCCTGCTTTATTTGGGACTTTCTCACAGACATGGCAAACATTTGCTTCGACACTGTACTGCTCCAACTTTCAAATCTGTTACTGACTTTTCCAACAGAATGAGATGATTTTAACCCCGCCAGGACAGTGTCAGATCCAGATCAAATGTTTTAAAAATTTGCAACAAAATACTTCCAAAATTACTTCTTTGAGAAAAAAATATCAGTCATTCATTTTTTATGAATCTAGGAACTAGCAAATACTAGGTCCTCAAGTACTGGAGAATTTATTTTTTCCTGAGTGAATGTTTAGATGAGAGGAGAGAAAACTATAAAAAGCAGAGGAAATTTCAGCAAAGCAGAGAGGAGAGCAGGTGCAGGGATGGAGGCTCTGGCAAACCTCACGCTTATTCTCACGCCGGGGTGTTTGTGACCCTGAGGGCTTTCAGGATCAGTCATGGGGGACGTGACACTATGGGATAAACATAATCTGAAAGGGATCCTGGGAGCAGAAGTTTTACCCCAGGATTTTAGGGAAAAAATGACTTTTATTACACAGCCTGCAAACAGCAGTCTTAGAAACACATTTATTACAAGTGTCCCTTTTTCCCAGTTTTATTGAGCTCTGATTGATGCACAGCACGGTATGAGGTTAAGGTGCACAGCGTGATGACTTGACTCCCACGCACTGTAAAATGATCACCACGCCACTTTAGTTAACGCCCATCATCTCATTTAGATGATGTATTTTTTCCTTATGATGAAAACTCTGAGGATTTACTCTCTCTTAACAGCTTTCAAATACACCACCGCAGTGTCAGCCGTAGTCACCATGTTGCACGTCATCTCTCTGGCCCTTACTGATCTTACAACTGGGGGTTTGTACCTTTTAATCCCCTTCATCCAATCCTCCCCTCCCCACCCCTTGCCTCTGGTGACCACAGATGTGGTATCTTTTCCTAAGAGTTTGTTTTTTGTGAGGGCTTTTGTTTGTTTTTGGATTCCACGTATAAGTGAGATCATGCAGTATTTGTCTTTCTCTGACTTATTTCACTTAGCATGATGGTCTCATCAATACTGTCACAAATGGCAGGATTTCCTTCTTTTCTTAGGACTGAATAATATTCCACTGTGTATGTAAAGAAAAATAAAAAATTTATCGATATATTAACATTGTATATAAATAAATGCATTGATTAAATATAATAAAATAGAAATAAATAGAAATTATAATGTATATAAACCATATTGATAAAAATAAATACATATATCTCATCTCACAACTTCTTCATCCATTCATCCGTTGATGAGCATTTAGGTTATTTCCGTGTCTTGGCTACTGTAAATAATGCTGCTGAGAACATGGGGGTGCAGACATCTCTTTGACACAGTGTTGTCATTTCTTTTGGATATGGCCTCAGAAGTGGAATCGCTGGACCATACGATAGTTCTGTTTTTGGTCTTTTGAGGAACTTTCATGCAGTTTTCCAGAGCAGCTGCATCAATTTGCACTCCCACCAACAGTGCACTTTTCTCTACATCCTCGCCTGTTTTCTCGTCTTCTTGGTGATAGCTGTTCTAATAGGCGTGGATGATATCTCATTGTGATTTCGATTTGCATTTCCCCGATCATTAGTGATGCTGGGCACCTTTTTGTGTACCTGTTGGCCATTCATATATCTTCTTTGGAAAAACATATCTATTCAGGTCCTTTGCCCATTTTTAATTGGATTATATGTTTTTTTGCTATTGAAGTGTATGAGTTCTTTATATATTTTGCATATTAATCCCTTATCAGATATATGATTTGCAATGTTTCCTCATTCCATACTTTTTTTTTTTCCATTTTGTTGATTATTTCTTTTGCTATGCAGAGGCTTTTTAGTTTGCTGCTTGGTCTTTAGGTTTCATACCCAAAAAAGTCATTACTAAAACCCACATCAAGGAGCTTTTGTTGTGTGGTTTCTTCTAGGAGTTTTATGGTTTCTGGTCCTATATTTAAGTCTGTAATCCTTTCTGAGTTAACTTTTACGTGTGGTTTATGGTAGGGGTCTGTAGACGTTTCATTCTTGTGCATATGAACATATAATTTTTCCCAGTACCATTTATTGAAGAGACTGCCTTTTCTCTATTGAATATTCTTGCTCCCTAATCAAATTAGTTGACTGCATATGCATGAGTTTATTTCTGGACTTTCAGTTCTCTTTCATTGGTCTATGTACCTGTTTTTGTGCCAGTATCATACTATTTTGACTATTATCACTGTATAATATACCTTGAAATCAGGAAGTGTGATGCTATTGTTCTTCTCAGTATTGCTTTGGCTTTTTAGGGTTTTTGTGGTGTCCTATAAATTTTAGTATTGTTTTTTTCTACGTCTGTAAAAGAAATCCCATTTGAATTTTGATAGGGATTACACTGACTATGTAGATAGGTTGGGTAGTATGGACATTTTAGCCATGTTAATTCTTCCAATCCATGAACATGGGATTCCTTTCCGTGTATTTGTGTCTTCAATTTCTTTCATCAATGTCTTGTAGTTTTCAGTGTAGAGATCTTTCACCTCATTGGTTAAATTTATTTCTAAGTATTTTATTGTTTTTGATGCTATTGTAAATGGGAACATTTTCCTTATCTATTTTTAAGATAATTCATTGTATAGAAATGCTATTGATTTTTGCATGTTAATTTTGTATTCTGCAACTTTACTGAATTTGTCGATTACACTAATCATTTTTTTGGCAGAGTCTTTAGGATTTTCTCTGTATCATTTCATCTCATAAAATCATATCAGCTGCAAGTAGAAACAAATATCCTCCTCCTTTCCAGCTGATGCCTCTTACATCTTTTTCTTGCCCGATGGCTCCGACTAGGGCTTCGCTTCCCTCACTATGTTGAATGGGAGCAGTGAGTTTCCGACTTTTCCTGTTCCTCGTCTTGTTCCTGACCTTTTAGCATCAAGTATGATGTCAGCTGTGGGCTTGTCATATATGGCCTTTATTATGTTGAGTGATGGTCCTTCTATACCTAATGCGTTAATGATTATATACCTAATGATGAAGCACGTCTACTGACTTGCATACACTGAAACATCTTTGCAGGCCAGGGATTAACCCTGTTGGGTCATGGTGAGTGATCCTTTCAGGTTGTTGCTGGGTTTGGTTTGCTAATATTTTATTGGGAATTTTTGCACCTGTATTCATCAGGGACGTTGGCCTGTAGTTTTCTTGTACTGTTCTTTGCTGGCTTTGGTATCAGGGTAATGCTGACCTCATAAAATGAGTGTTCCCTCCTCTTAGATTGTTTTTTTGGAAGAGCTTGAGAGAGAATGTTGTTAATTACTCTTTAACTGTTTGGTAAAATTCATCAGTGAAGCCAACTGGACCTGGACTTTTCTTTGCTGGGAGATTTTTGATTATTGATTCAATTGCCTTACTAATAATTGTTCTGTTCAGATTTTTTTATTTCTTCTTGTATACATTTTGGGGCCTGGTAACAGAGGAGCCTGTATAAGCAAGCTCTACAGGGACAAAGGAAGGAGTAATTCTGGAGAAACCGGTTGGTTATGACAGGAAGAATAGAACCTTAGGAGGAAGACAGTTGAAGTGAAAATCAATAAGGAGCTGGGTCTGTGGCCCAGCTAAGCATTCCTCGGAGGGCCCTTGAAAACACGTAGGGTGGGACTTTGGCAAGAGGCTAGTTCTATGAACAAAGGGGATGTGCAGTTTGACTAACTGACCTTTAAAGAGCACGGTGCCTCCGAGGACCAGAGAGACGAAGAGCATCGAGGGCATGTCAGAGGCCTGCGTGCATTCTCAGAGCAGCACAGTCGGGCTGCTGAGGCCCCCCACCAGGAGCTCTCAGACAAACTGCAGCTGTCCCAGAGAGCCCGTGCCCCCGAGTGTGGCTGGGACCTGCTCACCTGAGTGGAATCACATTTCCTCATCTCCTTCTCCTTCTTTGCCAGACGCTTCTTTTTCTTGTGAAGAGGTTTGGACTCCAAAATCATTTCTTCGAGTTCAAAGGTGGGGTCGCAATTCAGCCTGCCTTTCTGCAAAGAAGACAGGTCGGCTCAGTCCTCGGATCCCTGTGCCCTTCTCAGAACACACCGAACCAAACATGGAGAACATCGCTCGGTCCTAGCTGAGCCATCCAGGAAGGATAAGCTTGGCTTCCCACTTCCAAGGTTTAGATAATTTATGGTCAGCATTGTTTTTCATACTCTTTGATTTTATACTTTGTTTTTCTAAACTCCCAATGAGCCCTCACTGAGTTGGAAAGGAAATCGAACTATAATTATTTCTCTGAAGTTTAAACTTTGGGGTTATATTTCTCAAAGGGTGTTCTAACAATCACGTGGATCAGAATTACCTGAGCCTGCTCAGATTCTCAGTTCCCCAACCAGAACTCCAGAATCAGTGTTTCTGAACACGAGGCCCAGGAAATATCATTTTAAACAAGCTCCCAGATGATTCAGGTTCACAGTAAGGCCGGAGAACCATACACAGACCTTCCCTTGAGGCGGCACTGATGGCTGACTGCAGTGGTGGGGTGCTGGCTGACTGCAGGGGTGGGGTGCTGGCTGACTGCAGGGGTGGGGTGCTGGCTGACTGTAGTGTGGGGTGCTGGCTGACTGCAGGGGTGGGGTGCTGGCTGACTGCAGGGGTGGGGTGCGCCGAGGGAAGAGTGCGAACAGCAGGCGGTGGTGCCTAGATCCCCACGGAGTCGCGCAGCGACTCCACACAAGCCGCCTCTGCTGGGCCCTGCAAAGTGGCCGGGTAAGCCCTGGGCCCCTCCCATCCTGCTGCTCCATGGGGGAGCAGCTCCACACCCCGGAATCCCGCCCCTGCCTTGTTGCCGCTTCTCTCACTGGGCACTTTCCCCCAACCCGCCCAGCTGAGCATCTCCCTCTGCTGTTTGCACATAAAGGACTGCACTCCCCTAAGCCCACAGCAAGTGCCTTCCTTGGGCTTAAGAACAGAGAACTCTGAATTGTCTCTACAGCCCTCTTTAGGAGCTCCTCGTCTGGCCAATCTATCTACAAAAAGTACAGAATCAGGCTGTGGAAGAAAGAAGCTAAGGCCTCACTTGGGCTGCTTGGTGGAAGTTTCTGGGCTCTGGATTTTACCGGCAGTCCAGGGAGTCATCAGTGGGAAGTATTTCCCTTTGGCTATAAATGCTTAGGATACAGCTCTGTGGCCTAGAACTACCAAAGGAGGAGGGTGAGAGGTAAAAATAAACACCTCACTTTGACTCCAACAGTTTTCAATGCTTTAACTCACAGAACTCCAAGGATACAAATTTCTACATCGTTGGAATTAGAGGAAATGTTGTTTTTCAATCCACAGAATTCTGGGAAGGACTCTTTGGAAGAATAGGGCTTTCCAATAAATGCGTGCCCCAAAAGTAGTTACAATCTAGGATTCCAGACACAGATAAGCCACAGTTAGAACCCCAGCTCGGCCACTCACTAGCCATGTGACCTTTGGTGGCCAATTTACCGTGTGTGTGTGCCTCCGTTTTCTTGTCTATCAAATAGGAATTTGGGCTGTCTTACAATACCTGTGTGCACACCTGGCACGTGGAACAGTGTGCAATGAACAGGTCATCATGGCTTTGTTAGGATTGACTCACATTAGGGATAAAACCTGGAACAAGCCTCTTCTGCAAAACTGCATCCCAGTTCATATCACTCATGTACGGGAAGTTCTGAACGTCAGACAAGCGAGAAAATCGTTGGTCCGGATTAGGTTCAAGTAGCTGCCAATGGAATGCAAACATCAAGATCACGAGGAACATCAAAGCAGGAGGCAAACAGTCGTACAAATTCCATCTGCAAGTTTTCAAGTGTAGGATTGGAGGCCACCAGGCAGTGTGCCCCTCCCCTAAACCCCGTAAACAAATAATGCAGATAATGCATACATAAATATTGTGGATACCACATGGTTAGAATGAATCGCAAGTAGGTTTTTGCAATGTAGTGCATGAAAATAGCTTGTCTTACTGAGGCCCACACATCTTTGATTCCTGACTCCCCTACTTACTATAGACAAATTTCTTCTCCAAACCTGTTTACCCATCTGTAAAGAGGGATAAGAACCTGTTTCAGAAGGTGGCTCCTAGAATTATGTAAGGCTATGCATATAAAATGCCTAAAAGAAGGTCTGCTCATATGAGGTGATGAATTTTTATAATTCATCTTTACAAATGAAATTTACTTCCCCATGTAAATTTTAGCTGTTTATACAATGAATCCAGATATACTGGGCATGACACAGAGATGGTGTAACTAAGGTTACTGGGTGCAGGTCTGGGATTTACTGACTGGGATCCAAGGTTTCTGCTCCCTTCACCACTTCAGAGTCACTGGCACGCCCGTCCTTTGGCTCAGGTGGGAATGCCGGGGCCACCCGAGGTGCTCTGGGAGGCAGTGGGCCTGGACCATCAGCGTCACGGGGGGTGGGGGCAGAAGGGGGCTGTACGGAAATGGAGGCAAACCTGATCATGGACAAGGATGCCCCATCTTCTTCATCGATGACATTACCGTGACAGCATCCCTATTTCAAATCAGAAACTTGGCCCCAAAGACAAGAGACACAGGTGTGAATCCTTAGCCCTCAGAGGTCTTTTCCTTGACCAGCCACAACCTGTACAATTTTCTCTCTTCAGAAAAAGCCAAGCTCACAGCAGTTGCACCCTCTCAAAGTCCCCCAATACCTTGTTTGCCCTGATGTCAAGGGCTGTTCCTTGGCAGACATCAGGCTACACGTTCTCCTTAACGTGATCACTCAATACATACTACTGAGCTCCTGCAAAGTTGTTCAGTCCTTCAGGCAAACACGGGTACCCCGAAGGTCTGGTGAAAGCTATGGACCTTGCTTATTCAAATACCAGATTCTACCACCCGTCAGGCTCTTTGCTAGATGGTGAGCAAGCCCCACACAGTCCCTCCCTCACCAGCTTAGGACATTGATCACTAACCCAAGAATCACACCCACATTTCAAACCGTGAGCCATGCTGTGGAGGACAGACAGTGCCACATAAACTTGCAACAGAGGGAGGCTCCCCAAGGATGTGATATTTGGGCTCTGATCTACAGCTCTGTTTCTCAAATGGCCTATGCAGGATGGGTGATTATTTCTGTTTGCTTGCTTTAATCTCCCATCCATTGAGACCAATATGTGGTCTTCCTGTGCATGGCCAGTATGAAGCTCCACACTGTGTGCAGCTTGTGATTTGAGTCTGACATCATCATATGGGCTTCTACCCTGTTCAGTGAGATGAGGCCACTGACCAGGTGCTCACGGTCAGCACTAGTATCCAATTGCTATGTAAGTGTCTAAATGCTTCTCCCAATTTCTGTACTTGTCATGGACCTGTAGGAAACAACTCATGGACTTGAACTAGTCAGTGAATCACACTGCATAGTACAGAGCTAAAGGAGGGAGCTGGAAGAGCTAGGCAGTGCTCCAGACAGAGGGACTCACATATGCAAAGGCCCTGTGGTGAGAGAGACTATGTGAGGGTGAGGAGGGAGACAGGAAAGAGGAGAGCAAATAAAGGCCAAAGCAGCTTGTATGTGATCAAAAAGCGGACAACAGGCTACAAGAAGGCTTGCGGGGTAATTAGAACCTTAATGCCATTCTACTCATTTTACCTTTTATTCTAAGAACAATGAGATGAAAATGAACTTTGCTTTGAATGGATCCCTATGGGCTGGTGGGGAGAATGGAATGCAGTGTGTGAAAAGTATAGTGGGTAAACCAGCTATGAGGCAAGACTGGATGGCAGTAGGGTTGCAGAGAGAGCAGAGAGATGGAGGCAAGTGACAGACTCCAGGGTTAATTAAGAGACCGAATCACAGAACCTGGTGATGGACTGAATACGAACTGCGTACGATGAAATGACTTCTGGCTCCCGGCTTGCACAAGTGGATGGATGGGAAGGTCAGTCACTGAGACAGGGAACATTGGAGAAAGACCAGGATATACAGAGGGGGACTCCATTTCGGACACACTGAGTTTGAGATGGCTTCGGGACATACAAGAACCTGTGCATTGCCTTAATGGAGCCATTATTTGAAAGCTGTCAGCTGCAATACCCCCTCTGGAAACGTATGTCACTATGACTGCCTCCAATAATGTATACTGACTTCTAATGTCAAGCCAGACAGCCTGCTTCCTTTTTATCATTTTCTTTTGTCATACAATCCTTCTCCTTACCTTTTTAAGCAGTGACACCATTTCTTGTGACCAGGCAGAAGGGTAAGTCACAACAGCTGTCTCAAACATGTGCACAATTTCCTTGTTGGAAGTACTGGAGCGAATATGATATGGTCTCTTAGGGAAAGAAACAAAAGTTTTATTTTCATAAGGTGAAAGAAAAAATTTGCTTTGCAAATGTTTCCAAGATAGATTGTCAATCAGTAGAATCTCAGTGTCATTTTACAATCCTTCCGGCTGACTGCTGTGTTGCCATATGCAAATGCGGTCCAGTCTGTCACCAGATCTCCTACTTAAAAAAAAAAAAAGATACCAGAAATATATAGTTTCTTGTGAAATCTCAGAATTTTTAAAAGTTGGTAATTCCACTGGGCCAGAGGAAACATTCCAGTGGGCTAAATCCTCCTCTGAGATGTCATTTTGGCACTGTTCTGTCAGGTGTCAGTTATGTAACTATTTACATAAAATATTGGACAAGTGCTCAGTAAATGAAAGTTTTAAAAAATTGTTATTTAAGTGTTGATTATGAGGCGGTCCAGAGTTTTACCACCCCTTTCCTCACTTTTTATATCATAGTGAATTAAGTTCAGGATGGAAATTCACCTAGAAAACTTCAGTTCCAGTCCCCAGCGCTAGAAGTTCATAGGTCTATGGAGTGGGGTGAAGACTTTTACACGGAGGCAAAACTTACTTTACTTCTGAGATACCCAGGTCTTCTCTATTTTAACTTTGGGGAAAGGAAATTGAACGAAACGCTGGCGTTGTTACGAGTTTCACAGCTGTCCACCAGAGGGTAGACTTTACCTGTATCAATTTCTCTACTTCATAAAAACCTGCAAGGCTGGGACTTGGACTTCAATGTGAGCTGTGAGGCCGTGAAAGCCAGAGATTATACCATATCCCTGCTTGTGTCCATGGCACCTAGCACCTAGTAGATGCTCGTCACATGTTTGTTGAATGAGCAAAATTTCCATGTTAGATTAACCAACAATAAGATAGTTAACATGGATATGCACATTATCAGGTGCCTGGCCCTGTCCAGATACTCAAATACATGACTGTGGACTGATGAGCTGAACTGGGAGAAGGAGAGAAGTTCACTAAAAGGTGACCTAACATAAGTGTTTGAGGTCACGTACTAAACGGAGTCATTCAGCTGGGGGTTCAGTTCCTCCGTCTGTGACAGCACCTACCTCATGAGATCGCTGGGAAAATTAAATGACATAATATATATGAAGTTCTCAATATAGTGGCTAATACATGTTAGATACAATGCAGGAGAGATATTTTTATTATTATTGACACAAGGGTAAAAAGGAGGGATATAAACGTGATGAGTGGACAGCAAGGTGAGTCACCCATCAAGGTGATGTGGAAAAGGCTTAACTCCGCGGATGTCAAGGTCAGTTTCCTAGGGCACCATGAAGGGTGAGGAGTTGAACCCCCCTGAAAATAAGATGGGCCAAATTTTTTTTTTATGCAGGGTCTAAAAACACCTGCCACATATTTTCTCCCTCGGGACCAAATAAAGGACCTTAGCTAATTCATTTGGCTCAGTAATGATGTAGTGGGAATAACCCCTGTAGCTCAGTGTGAGAAGGTACCAGACACTCTGCTCACCACTATCAAAGTCTGCTGGCTGTTTACTAGCCAAAGAGCTGTGGTCACTACTCACAATTCTTTTCATGTGCACCATTAAGAGTCTGGGTAGGTGTGGAAGACTTCAGCTTCCAGGGTTGTATGCACGTGTAAGTTTTTTTCTATTTTTCTTCTTCAATTCTGCTTCTAAACCTACTCTTTCTTAGACATCTAAAAACACAAAATCATTTGATAAATGAATAAATTAACTGATGAATGCCATAAGCAACTGGTTTACATGTGTTTTTATCATTATTTTCGAAGGCCATATGACCAAATTTAATATTTTTAAAAATCTTCATGATGTGTCAACTTATTCAAAATAGTCAAATTGCCCTTATCTTATACAATAACTTATTTTTCCAGTTCTACATTTTAAAATTCATGCTAATTCATCAACTACCCGAGTTGTATATGTATTATTTTTCAAATATTTATTGCATGCCTACAACACTCCAGTGTGTCTACTGGACACTGGGGATACAGTGAAGAACAGACAGCCAGGATTGTTACACTGATGCAGCCTATAGTCTACTTAGGGAAACCACAGATAATCATACAGTGTACACACACATGCACACTTAAATCAATGGAATGCATGCCATAAAGAAAAAATCACAGTGTGCAAGGACAGGACATATCAAATTATAAGGCAGCATGTAAATTGAGAGTGAGAATGAAAAAAGGAGGAAGGGAGAACAGCTAAAACATCAGAGAGAGAGAATGAGGTGCTGGGGTGACAGTCTTATTCCAGGAGTATAGAAGCAAAGAACTGCTGCTAAGGATGTACAATTAGTACAGAATCATACACGAACCTATCCTAAGCTAATACTTGGGAACAACACAACATGAGAGAAGATATGGACTTTGCCTTCACGGTGGCAATGGGAGCCGAGAGACACAGAGGTGGCAAAGCAGGTTAACAGCTAAGGGACCCATTCATCAAGACTGTGACCAAGCTCAGAAGCCACAGGGTGGCTTTGAAGCACATTTCTCTATGAGGCATATGTTTTTCTGTAAATAAGAATTTGTCAACGTGGAGGAAATGATGGTTTAGTGCCCTCCCTCTGCGGTTTAGTTGTGTTGACCGTTGTAATTAAATGCTGGTGTTCCATTTCTTCAGATCAGCTATACTTTGAGACATAACTTCATACCCCCACCGGCTCATTTTTCCTAGAATATGTCAGAATTGGTCTGCAGTGACTTGTTCGTCCATCGATTCCACAGGTATTTGTTATATTACTATTTAAAGTTAAATCCTATGGGTAATACTGAAATGTATAAAATACCTTGAACAAATTTATAGTCTAAGAATATAGAAGAGATAAACACATAAAAATTGATATACCTGGAAAAATTTACAAGGATAGTAGTTTTACAAAATAGGTTTAATCCTAAAAAGCTAAATAGATTGAGGTGTTCTAATGTAGAACGTTCTGTATTTTACCTCTTAAGTGGAAAAGCACTAATTTTATTTTTGATAGAACAACAATAATGTATATACATGCGTGTGGGAAAATAGATTATCTTTATAAGAGCAGAAAAGCTTTGGAAGAGAAAACAGCAAACTGTTCATTCTAAAGGTGGATTGGAAGGTTAAAGGAGGATTTAATTTTTTAATTGGGACTTTCCTTCATCTCAGAGGATATAGTTGATTTTTACCTTCATTTTTGTGCTTTTCTGTATTTCCAAGAATTATAATCCAGAAGAGTCATAAGAGAAATAAAGTAATAAATATTTGAAAGATATTCAAGTCACTTCAGCCAGAGACATCACAGCACATTTCCTCAGAGAAGGTGCCGGGTCGTCATGGGCCATAAAGAATAGGTCGGGTTTGAATAAGGAAAGACCTGGAGAAAGGCCTTCTCAGAAGGAAATTTGGGAGAGTCTCAAAGTCCATCCTTCCTCAGAAATGATCGACATTCATTGGATGTAGAGATCCTGAAGAACTCTGCGATTAAGGCGCAGCCTTCACTTTACTCAAACTCAATTTAGCCCTTCCTAAACTGATCTGAAAAGTGATTTTTAAAGGACAGGGCCTACTTTGGGAACTAGCTTTATGGCAAAGGAATGAGAGGTTAAAAAAGCTCAAGGGATGCTTTGGGAAAAGGAGGAGGTCCAGAGAGGCCAAAGTGAGTTCATGGCCAGCCAGGGTCATTCATACTGGACAATATCCAAAAAGACACCTGCTCCTGAAGGGCAAAGAATGCCAAGCTCAGGGGTCTGGAGACTGTGTGTGTGTGTGTGTGTGTGTGTGTGTGTATGTGTGTGTGACTATGTGAAGCACTGGAAACAACAATTTTTTAAATATGAGAAGTCAGATACGTGCTTTAGGAAAATGAATCCGCACTCCTATGTTTATTGCAGCAGTATTCACAATCGCCAAACAGGGAAACAACCTAAGTGTCTGACAACAAATAAGTGGATGAAGAAAGTGTGGTATGCATATACATGGAATATTATTCAGCCATGACAAAGAAGGAAATCCTGCTCTTTGTCACAAAAAGGCTGGACCGTAAAGGCATATGTTACGTGGAACAAGCCAAAGACAAACACTGCATGGCCTCGTTCACATGTGGAATCTAAAACACAAGCCGAACTGATAAAAACAGAATAGAGAAGAGGTTGTGCCAGAGGCTGGGGGGTGTGGGAAGCAGGGGCTGTTGGTCAAAGGGCATAAACTTTCAGCTGTAAGATGACCAAGGCCTGAATAATGTATAACCTGCTGACTATGGGTGACGATGCTGTGTTGTATAATTAAAATTTGTTAGACAACTTAAATGTTCTTCAATATATAGTTATATAAATACATAAATTCAGCAACCTCATAGTAATTTTTGTCCCTCTTTCTGAAGGAAAAAAAAGAAAGGAAAATAAAAGAAGAAAAATCAGTCTGATAATGTTAATACAAGAGATTACAGGGAACTACCATAGAGGTAAAATAATACGAGGGCAAAATTCTTCCTTGGTATTTTCTTAGTTTAAGAAACATTTCCTTCTACAGGAAACTACTCTAGTTCTCTACTAAACCCAGAATCCAGGAGCCAAATGACAGGAACCCAACAAGACAGGGCATGAATCGTGTGGTATTAATGATTCACACTCGCCACGGGGGAGCATGCCTGAGAGTCCTGGACTGTGACTGCACAATGACTTTCTTTAAACAAACAAATATATTTCCACAAGGTCTGTGGTGAGGTGCGCTGATTTCTTCTCTCTGGGAGATTATAATATCCATATTTTTTAATTTTATCTGCAAAATTTAATGTTAACTCACATGCTTGGCTGTGTATACAGGAGAGTGAATTAATGTGTGCAGGAACCCCAGGGGTGATTATCGGCACCACGGGGCATAGGTGCTTTCACCCCTCAAGCAGACTGCTTGGTTTTCAACAAAAAAAAAGAAAAATCCATTCTTTCATTCTAAAAATGAAACTTGCTATAAGAGTAACCAGAAAGAAGTACAACTTTACTGTACCCGTCCTCTCAGCAGCTCATACGCCGTCACTCCCAGCGACCACCAGTCAACAGCAAAGGAGTAGCCTGCTTCTCTTCTGGAGTTGAACATTTCAGGTGCTGAGAATATAGAAACGTTAGGTGAGTTTTACTCCCTGAGATATTAACAAATCTATCTTCCTAACATGTTCCTCCAAAGGCGAATTATCAGGGGAAGAAGCGTAAACACTTCTATGAAGCTTTATCATCCATCACCAGATTGCTCACAGCAGGCAAAAATCTCTAATTTTCTAACCTCTCTCAACAGCCTCATTCATCAACCAACACACAGTCACGTACTGACCTCATGAACAATTTTTTTTCCTATTTAGATGGTGTGCTCATTCAAAACTGGATCCCACCAGCCTCAAGTGGGCAGGTGACCCTACAACCAAGAAGGCTGAGATCATGTTATGTGTCGTCCTGGTTTGGAAAGTCTGTGTCAGAGGCCCTGAATTCGTAACACTGCTGCAAGTAGCCTCGGATTCGGTGCCCTGCACACTGGACTGGCTCTCCGTCTGCATCGCCCATCAGAGGAAAGGGTGGTGTTTACAGCCTGCTGTGGGGCTGAGGGAGTAGGACCAGAGGGCCAGCACTCTGGGAGATAAAAGGGTCCACATCAGCTGGGGAAACTTGCACGTTGTGACATAGATATTTGAAAAGACTCCAGCAGAGGACACAGCCAGTCAATTCTATGCCCAGTGGGGGCCCCCTAGTGATGCATCTGATAAGCCTTTTGATACACCAGGAAGCTCCCACATTCTCTTCCAAGAACACACCAGCCCCTGAGGGGCGGCGCACGGAGCATGAAGCACAGAGCGGTGCCACTGCCTGCCTAGTACTGAGCCTGGCAGAGAGAATGAATGACCAGCGATGAGTCAGTTCCACAGGACCGGGCTGCGGTTCCCCAGCTCTGGGACTGTGTGCCTCTTGGGTTCAAAGCCTGCCCTTGCTGCACACTTAGACCTGGACCGAGTGCATTCGCTGAGCTGGAGACTCATCAGCAGAACCGGAATAATAAGAAGGCAATCTTTACAGAGGTGAGAAAGTAAATGAGATAACACATGCCAAAATCTCAGCATAGTGCCTGGTGCTTGGAAAGTGCTCCAAAAAATTAGGCACTCTCTAGACAGGTAAATACCCATAATGATGAGAATTGTACCTGGTCAAAAGCTGTGCTCAGTTGACCCAAGTCTCTGGTAGTGAAGTCCTGACTCTGGGCAAAAGAAATGGGTATAACGTGGGGTCTGCACTCACAGGTTTGCTCTGTTCAGTGCACTCAAGTTCTAAGTAAAATCCTGTGGCTAACATCCATTTAGAGGTAGAATGTTGATTTTACAATTTCGGGACTGGCCTGCCTGTAAGAGGCATGCGGTAGCAGGACTGAGTAGGCTCACCGCCTGGTAAATTCCCTTTCGATGCTTCAGGGCATCCTTTCTGGAAGTTGCAGCTCCCCAGGAAGTTTGGGAGGCAATGGCCTTGCCTCCTGGGTGCTGCCACACACTGGATGGACTTCATTTCCACCCTCCCTTATCCGTGTCTCACAGCAAGCCCTCTCAGGTGGGCCCCCAGGTGACAGGTGACAGACATCTTACTAAGAGTAGCTGCAGAGAATTTTGAGGGATAAACAGACCATTGTGCTAAGAGAACACCTAAGAGAATGAACTTTATAATAAAGCTGTGTACTCTGTCATCTTGGAGCATCCTCAGACTTTCTGTCAGTACTCTTTTTTCTCTTTTTTACTTAATTTTCTGGCATGAAAACATTTAGATATGTGTTCCTTCATTCAAAAAGCACTAAGGTTTTTTTTCGGTAGAACATTAAAAAAAAACCATGGCAAACTGCAAAACCGTAACAGATGGGAATTCTTTGAGCCCTCCGAGAACTGAGAGCCCAGAGCAGGGAAATACAGAGGGTTTCATCAGCTCTTCTAGAAGATTCCACTGAGATGTGGAGAGAGGCTAAGTTTCCTTAAAAAAAAACCCATCAATTATGTTGTTTGGTTTTAAAGTATTTCAATACCTACATTCAGAGAAGTAAATAAACATAAAGGAAGAACTTACCAAGTAGTTATAAGCAAATGGCCCCGTAACCATTACATGGGTGAGGCCACAGAACCTTGACCCCGCCACTATGTCCCGCCCCGCTGACAATCCGCAGAGTGACTGCTATCCTGAACTCATGTTAGCGATTTTCTTGCCTTTCTACATAGATTTACTCTCTACTTATGCATTTCTCCACAGTACTTGAGGTTTGCCTGTTTTAGCAATATGAATGTTATATGTACATATATGTTGAATCTTTCTCCTTGTTTTCTTTGGTGTCTTGCTTTTCTTGCTCAATGGTATTTATCCAAGTTGCTGCACAGAGTTAGTTTGCTATATGAATATCTGTCATTCGCCTCCCTCTCCTATTGTTGACCACATTTGGGTCATTTTAACTTGGGAGTATTATGAACACAGCTCCCAGGTATAGTCCTGAACTGTAAGAAGTAAGATGAAAGGCTCCTCTAAGTGCACACGTCTGCAGGGTACTTTCCTGGGGGGAACTGCTGGAGATGGGGTGTGTATCTTCACATACGCTGAATAATGCTAAACCATTCACCAAGGTGGGAGGACCGATTAACGCTATAACCCGCCGTGCATCAGAGTTGCTTTTGCTCAGTTTCCTTATCCACACTTGGTATTAACTGACCTTTTGATTTTTTGTCAATCTAGTGAGTGTGGAATAGTCTATTCCTTGTGAAAGAACATTCCTTGTGGTTTAAATTAGCATTCTCCTAATTACTAATAAGCTTGAGCACATTTTAATGTATTTATTAGCTCTTTGGATTTCCATCATGTGGTTTTCAGATTTTAAAACATCTGGAGAGTAGATTCTGGTCAGGACATAAAGAAAGGACCCCAGATCTAATCTACAAATTTAATGCAATAGAAATAATTAATGGAATTCACAGAAATTATTCTAAATTATTCTAAATTTCATCTACACAAAAGTATGAATAACAAAGTTTTTTCTTAAAAAGAATAGAAAGACTTGCATCCTAAGTATTAAATTACATTATAAAGCTACAGTAATAACGACTTAAGTCTATAGGATAGAAATACTAGCACATAAAGATATTAGTTTATGATGAACATATTTCAAGTCAGCATGGAAAGGGTCTTATTTAATACATGGTCTCAAAGCAATCATTTAATAATCTAGCAAAAAATAAGAACAGATCCCTTACCACGTATCTTCAGTCAAGCTGCTATATAACTGGAATGAGTAAAAAATGAAACTATAACAATAATAAAAATACTAGGTAACAATATCTAAGGTCTACCAATAAATAAGAAGGTCTTGTTAAGAATGCCACCAAAGGTAGAAACTAAAAGCAAAGACTGATGGCTTGTTGAGGATAGAAAATAGTTTTTTATGTAATAGTACCATAAGAACAACAGCAAGCTAAAAGGCAGGAAGATCATATTTATAACACATAAGATACATTATAAGTAAATATTTCTAATATATAAAGGGCAAGAATTCTTTATATAATCAACCAGAAGTATCAGAATCAGATAAAAGTATTAACGCCCTAATAGAAAATGGCAAAGAACATGAACAGGCAATTTACAAAAGTAGACAAAAAAATGAAATTCTGACATCACAGTGAGGACCATTCTGAATGATCTTTTCGGGAAGACCAAAGATATTGATGTGCAGCCCTGGTGGGAATGCAAGACAGTGAATGTCCTCAGACATTTCCAGAGCACATGAGCAGAAATCCACGCGGAGGTTCAGGGGAGAAATGCATCGGTATATATACTCCCTGTTGACCTGATATTTTTGAACGGGAATTTATCACAAGGAAATAAGTTTCAGGACATATTTCTGCTAACAGGATTTTTATCACAGGTTTATTCATATTTCAAAATGAGAAACAATCTAATGTTTCACAATAATGAATTGGCTATAGAAATCTTGATGCAGCTTTCTAATTCCATAGCATTTGGCCATTAAAAATGATAGTTATGTAGATGGACATGGAAAAATAATCAGAATGTCAGTTGCCAAGACACAGGCGCTGGAGTCGAGGAGGGGGCTTAGTTCTGGCTGAGGGGTGCTTATTGGCTGGAAGCAGAGGAGTAGCCGAGCAGTGGTAGAGGCCGGGGCTCTGATGTCAGACCCTGTGGGCTGTATTCGAGCCCCACCTGAGGCAAAGGGCTTAACTTCTCAGTCTGCACAGATTACGTGGAATAACAGTAATACCCGCCGCACAGAATAGTTTTTAGTTTAAGTGACGTAATATATGCACTTCGAATAGTGAAGAGCTCAGTGGATGTCAGCCAGTGTCCCTTCATTATCATCACCACGCATGTTCCAGGCTGGAGATGTTTCCAGGCTTGGGCTTAACTTCATGCCATACCGGCCACTAGCTGTGTGATTATGACCATGTCACTACCTCCCTAGCCATGATTGTCTGTTTAATCAATGAAATCAGAATAATAGTAATACCTATTTTATAGGGTTGCTTTGATAATCTAATGACATGATGTTAAAAACTTAGCAAAGTGCTTGGGACATAATAAATGCTCACTATATAATGCTTATATTGTTATTACATTATAAAGTGAATATTCAGGTCACAAAAACTCAGTATGATCCAACTTTGAAAAAAAAATGTCCGTGTGTCTGTATGTGTGTAGAAAAAAGTCTGGAGGGAAACCATAAATACAAATAGTGGGATTAATTTCATTTCCCCTTTGCTGATCAGCATTACACACATTTATTTCCCTTTTGCTTATTAGCATTTTTTCACATTTATGTTGTTCTGTTTTAATTTGGAGGGGAATGCTTTAATGGGTGAAGTTCGAAATAATCTGGACTGTGTTTCTTCGGACCTCACAACGGGGAGGAGGAAGGGCCGGCGGCAGAGGCTGGTGAATGTGTGCGGGGTTTGGGGGGGGCGTCAGGACCCACGGGGGCTCCACGCCTCATTCCCAGAACCGAGGGGCTGCGCGGTGCTGTGCAGAGCAGCAAGTGGGTGCATGTCATATATGCCTATGATCTTCATTCAATATTTCATTCTGGTTTTCTTTGTTTTTTAGGATTTTTTTCCCCTCTCCGGTTAATTGCTAGTTAGTATCCCACAGGGGTGCCAAAAACGGGTGCTGGCAAGTGTCCCCTAGGCAGATTTTACCAAATTATTGAGAACACGATTTTTAAAAAGAAAGAGCAGACTTCCACCCACGTCCCTCTTAGAAAGACTCCTATCCAAAAATCAACGGCAAGAGCAACTTCTGGATAAGGAGATAAGCAATGGCGGTCAGATATTCATTTTTTTTAATTAAACAGGAAACATTTTTAAGTTTGGCTTGACTAAATTGACTTACAACCATTTTAAGAGACCACAAATAGTAATTTTTAAAAATGTCTCCCTTTATTTCTCTTTCAGAGAGTAGCTTGATTTTCTAAAGGCAGACAGTGCTTGGTTTAAATCTAGGCTTTTTCAATTTATTAGCCATGTGATCTCGGGCAAATTACTTAGCCTCTTATTTTCTTCATTGTAAAACGATGTTAATTACAGTCTGCCTCATAGGGTTGTTAAGAAGAAAATAAATGAGTAAATGAATGTGTAACATTTAACACATTGTCTGGTCCATAAAAAGCTTTCAATAAATATTAGTAATTGTTAATTATAAGGGTGACAGTGGAGAAGCAAAGAGAACCTTGACTCGATTCCAATTTCCTAGCTCTATGTTGTGAAAAGACTAGAAATGACAAATTTGAGGAAAATTAAATCACACAGACATTGTAGTTAAAACCGCTGGGGAGAGA